AAATACCATGAATACCATCATGAACTCGCAAATACAATTAATACCAACATGAACTCGCTAATGCCATTAATACCATCATGAACTCGCTAAGTAATACCGTTAATACCACCTTGGACTCACTAAACGGATCCGTATAAGAAAGAAGCAAAGGTTAGTGAAGGCTAGATTAGGTAACGTGTCTCTTAAGAGCTTGGTGAGAGATATTAGACCCAGGTGAGAGATATTAGACCCAGGTGAGAGATATTAGAACCCAGGTGAGAGATATTAGACCCAGGTGAGAGATATTAGACCCAGGTGAGAGATATTAGACCCAGGTGAGAGATATTAGACCCAGGTGAGAGATATTAGACCCAGGTGAGAGATATTAGAACCCAGGTGAGAGATATTAGACCCAGGTGAGAGATATTAGACCCAGGTGAGAGATATTAGACCCAGGTGAGAGATATTAGACCCAGGTGAGAGATATTAGACCCAGGTGAGATAATAATGCTTCTGAAAATAACAAGACTGAACTATTCTATGGGTGGGTTTTGTGACTGAAAAGACAGATAATAAGAGTGAATGTTAGTAAGGGAGATAGACAGATAGATAGATAGAAAGATAGATAGATAGACGAGAGAGAGAGAGAGAAAGAGAGAGCTGATAATTATGAAACATTATCCAAACATTTATTCCTGTGTGCATGGTATTAAGCTCCACCATGTATAGTACAGCACTTCGCCAAAATATATACTGTACTGTAGAAGCATTTTCCGCCTATTGTCTGTGTACTTCGCCAAAATATAGCGTTTTCCTTTTACATCGCCAATATATAACATCTACCTCCTTTACATCGCCAATAATATAATATTTCCCTGGTATTCCTCCTCTCCTGACTATACTGTTCCTTCCACCTCCGTAAAGTCATAATTCTAAGCCTCTCTTCCGCCCACTTTCACCTTATCTTAGTAATTTCTCTTTTTGGGCGGGGTTTTTTTTTTGCGTACTGGTCGACCTTTTCTTCCAACTTGAGATCAAAATTACTTAAGTTTTTGAATTGTGGGATTGGATTCACCTACGAACCAAATTCCTTTCGTTGAAACATAGTCCGTTAACTCACAAGACAATGCCACTTCTTACCAAGTGTTTAGGGAATTTTGTCGGAAGTTGTACGTATCAGAGAGGACAAGCTGCGTGTGTTGCAGTACGTTCCCAAAGCTGTCCTTCGCCAAGCATGCCACCTGCCCGCCCTCTCCAGTCCACACGGTCGATGAAACAGAATATTCGGCCCAGGACGTGACAGGGTGGGTGGGGAGAGAGGAGGGGAGGTACTGGTTGTCATATAGACCTGACCCAGCAGCAGAGAAAGTAGGTCACTTATCGACCACCACTCTCAACCACGTCTTTTACTCTCTGTCTATACCCCAAATGCTTTCTTTTTTTAATGCCGTTCATCCAAGTTAGCTATCGTAGTTGGGAGATAACGATACTTATATTGTGACATTACCTCCCAGTGGTGTATGTCGTCACCTAAGTAGTGCTGACTGTCTGCCATATTTTCTAATCTGTGTCGCAGTTGAAGGTCAAGGGGAGACGATATTTATTAAAGGTCAAAACATTGTATCCAAGTCTGTCTTAAAGTTGAAGGTCCAGTCCAGATCAACTCAGACCTATTTATTTAATGTCAGAAATCCTTGTTACTTTTTCCTCCGGGTTATTTTAGTTATGAGGGATGATTGTTTATCTTCACCATCCCTTCTCAAGTGCATTCTGGCCTAACTTTTTTATCATTTTTTTTAGGGCGGGAGTTGGGGAGGGGGCACTCGAACTATTCTGTATATTAGGTTCAGGTATATAAAGTGACCAATTTATTTGTACTATGTAAACCTGCATTGTCTATATACAGTAGAAACTTATAAGACAATTTTACCGAATAAATGTTTATCTATATGTCTAATTCACTTACAGGAGTTTGGGGATTTGAAGACTTTAAGTTACCCCTCGATTTTGGCTTTTATTTTCTCTAATTAAAGGGGGGAGACGAAATAAAAAATATGTAAGCCTGCCTATAGTATATTATCCTTTGTGAGTCACGTGTGTTCGTGTGGTGTTCTAAGAACCTGATCGACCGGTGGGTGGGCTGGGTGTAAATTTCACGGGACTTTCTTCATCTTGATCATGCGGTAAAATAACTGGTGAAGAACACACCATACTGAGATAACATCAGTAAGTGTTTCTAGGAAGTCTCTCGATTTCACTTACCCGTTGTCATGAAATATTATTTATGGCAAATTTGCTATATTTTCCTCCTTTGAAAAAAAACTTCGTGTAAAATAACGCCATCGTGTTATTGAAGAGTAGTAAAACATTATAAACGCGCCGGAGAATAAGCGTTTAAAGACCTTAGTTATTGAAGAGTCGTAAAATATTATATACGCCTCGGGAAACAGGCGCTTAAAAGACTAGTTACTGATGCGTAGACATACATCATAACAACAAGTAATAAATTCCACAGAATGCTACAGGCTGGATATAGGATACCTTGCCACGTGTGTACCTAATGAACGAGACCAACCAAAAAGCACTTCTTTCATCTTTCCAGCTGCAAAATTATGCAGTAATTGACCCCAGCATAATAAATCTGTTATAATTTCAAACAACTCGAGTGAAGATAAAAAAAAATACATGTATGATGAAGCAAAGGCAATGAATGATGTATAATGATAAAAACCCTGTACCAGTTTTAAGTCCAATGTATACCTGTGAATGATGTATTATGCTAAAGACCCTGTACAAGTTAATTAAGTCCAGTGTGGTACTTGTCATGGCGCAATAAAAAAACAAAAAGAACGTTCTGGTACCACGGTATATTTGCCTAGTAAGCGACCACAATAGTTCAGTAAGTGTTTTAAGTGTCAGTTGCTGTGGTTAAGTAATTGTTTTAGGTAGGTAAGCTATTGTGGTTAAGTAAGTGTTTTGAGTGTAAGTTGCTGTGGTTTAATAAGTGAGTTAAGTTGGTCAGTTTAAGGAAAGTGGGGTTTGTACTCGAGTGTGACGTTGCCATGTTGGTTTATCGGGAGAATATTTCCTTATTTATTAGTTCACTACTTATCAGTGTAAGGGGGAGGAGGGGGGAGGAGACTGGCTTAAATTATCTAAGTTACTCGTATCTTTATTTTCTGGTTAATTACTTATTTGTCCCATTTTAATCTTTAGCTTATTTCTTTAAGTATCTATGTATATTTTTTTTTTGTTCTCTTAGTGTTCTTCGTTTCTCTTACTTATCCTTTCTTATATTATTATTTTATATTCTGATCTTTGGGTTTATCTGGGAACCCTTTGTTACTGCACGTTCTTCAGTATTTACAGTATGGCCACCACCACCGCCCAGATTTTAATCAGAAAATATAACATAATATTTAACCTCTAAAACATTTATGGTAGCATAGTGAGGTCTAGACTAGTGGGTTCTATTGTATTTCAATGGTAAAAATATATAGGAAAGAGAAAGGTAAATACTGCAATGATAATGATAGCACAAAATTCATGAAGATTGTTTATTGAAAATTTGGTAAAATTTACAGGTTCTGCTCCCAAGATTAGTGAGTTTCTTAAATACTAGATTGACAATTACTTCAATACAGTTGTGAACTTCTATGTTGTAACTTCAGGAGGGCAGGGTCAGTGAACTCTCTCAGGCTTTGTCAGCTGAGAACACTTCGTAACTTAGTATAGTTTTCACTACACTTAAATACAGTTGAAGCCTTCAACATACACGTGATGGATCTTAAATGCTTCAGCCAATAGTATGTATATGTAGTGTAACTGTATATCTTACGGCTACTCATACGTGTTACATCTTATTTTTAAATTTACACCGTCTATGAGAGAATTTCCGACAATATAGAAAATGAGACTTAATAACATGTAAGAGAAAACTTAAGAACTATACCCTTTCCACGCTAACCTGGCCCGTAAGCCACACCCCTCTTCTATACTAATAGCTGTTTGGTTCATAGAAAATTCAAACAAAATTGTGTTCACAATTGGAAAGCAGACCTGTTATTATCTAAAATAATGTTAAATATCTGAACTATGTTAGAAAAATTGTAACATTTATCATAAAAGGTCGATATAAATACGCGCTTATATACACGTAGTACGGGGGAAGGTAACATGCCCAGGGGAACTAATCAGCTATTTGTGGCTATAGACGAGGGGCGGGGCTTACTGGCCAGGTTAGTGTGGAAACATTATAGGCATCTATGTTTTACGGTCGACGGAGCATAACATGAATGAGTGTGGATGGTAATATAAGCGAAGTGCAAGTGTGACCATTGCATCAACTTACTAGACATTCGGGGAGTTATTGTATTCATAGTTACCCATAGTTACTTGTTATGAATTTCATTGTCCAGAGTTAGGACAGGAGGAAACTAGAAGCCTGAGAAAACACTGTTCCCATGACCACGAGAGGTAACCATTGTTTACACATGCACTTGCACTTGGCTGGTTAGTGTATTAGAAGAACGTAAACTCTTCGCTTAGAGGAAAACCGAGCTGACTTGAATAACATCGTCCGTTTTCTTTTGCAGGTGTTGATGGTGAACTGAGATACATCGGCTTGACACCGCCTCCATTACCCTTAACCCTTTTCCCTTACCCTTAAGCTACGTCTGTTACAGCTACCAAGATAGAATTCATTGCTCCTTAACCACACAGTTAATTGCCTTTAAAACACACCATCTAGCCCTGTAAACCTAATCACCAATCCTTCTAAAACAACATACCACAGTGTCCATCTTAGAACCACGTCTCTTATTCTCAAAACACGTTCATAGTCCCGAGAACCATATCCTTCGATCCTAACCCCGTAACTTGAATCTTCATCCCCGCCTCTGTGACCTTAAATTGGCTTCATGTTCTTATGCCCCACCGAACTCACAAACTATAGTCCGTGACGCCCTCAGAGAGCCTCCAGGTACTCTTAATCCACGCATACGAGCCCCTTAGATCCCCCCCCCCGCCCATGCCTAAAATCCTCCCTAGAGCCTCACCCACAGCTTTCCTCTATGTCTACCACTCCTTACACTTATAATCCCTATAGATCTATGTCCACGCCCACGATCCTCCCTCAACGCCCACAATCTCCCTAAAACCACGCCCATAATCCTCCCTAAAGCCACGCCTATAATCCTCCTTCAGCGCCTACAGTCTCCCTAGGGCCACGTCCCAAACTATTACTCCTACATCCCCACGCTAGTCCGTCCACACTATGAGCCAAGCAATAGAGAGACGTCGTGATGTGGGCGCCCACGACGTCCTATCCCCTTTCTACGCCCCTCCCGCCCGCAAGACGTCCGCCCAGATCATCCGGGAGGCACGGGCGTCCCTGGGTGGCACTGGCGAATCTCCTATCGTGGGCGGTGCCAGCGTCCAGAGGGTGGGCGTGCGGACGGTGCAGACCAAACGTCCCTTCACGCCCAGGGAGAGAGAGAGGACACTCTTCAGCTCTTCAGGCACCAGTCGGGGCGAACGTCCACCCAGCTCCTTCACGTGAGTGGCGACAGAGAGAGGAGGAGAGATAGGGATGATGAAGAGAGAGAGAGGGGGAGGGGGATAAGGATGAAGTGTGTGTGTGTGTGAGACAGACAGACGGAAAGAACTCTTTAATTCTTCAGGAACGTGTCGAAAAGAGTGGCCATTCTAAGGTCCTTTCATGAGACTGGGGGAGAGAGGAAAATTAATTGGAAGGAGTGAGGATGGGAAGGGTTATACCATATATTTGCTGATATATCCCGTGTGTATATATTCAGACCTTAAACTTTATCTTCTGCCAAATACTTGCATATATACCCAATGCATTTACTGTACATATCACCAGGCACCGAAAGGTAAAAAAAAAAATCCAGCGTCTGTCCCATTAATTGCCTCCCTGTGTAACCAACCAGTGTTTATCATGCTTGTCTCCCACAGTCTCTCGCCGCTGCACTTCGACAGTAATGACGTGAGTGGTCGAACGTCGGCCTCGGGCACCAGACTACAGCCTATCGCCTCCGGCAAAATCAGGCCAGACGAGTCCGAGCAGGTATTTTTTTCTTGTAATATGTGCTTTAATATGTGGGTAACCTTATGTCTTTTGGTTATGCATATATGAGTTATTATTTTACGTAAAAGTGTCTTCATGTGTAATTTTGTTTATAGGTATGTGAGATTGTGTGTTTGCACATGAATTATGGGTTTGTGGCAGTTCGTGCGTGTGCTGTGTATCTGTGTGTGAGTGTGTTGTGTACGTATATCACTTCAGTGAGCTTGTGTGTCCATACGTGAGTTTACTTCCATCCTTCTGCCATCAGCCTCACTAACCTTCCCTTCTGCCTCCCACAGAGCAAGTTACCTGCCCTTGTGTCATCCAGGAGGGTTCAACGACACCAATTTCGTGCCCTCTCTCTCTCTGACCGTGAGTATATTAATTCACGACTATGTCTAACAGGAAAAGATTACGTGACCTTTGTAACTGTGTGTCTGTTGGCTCACCAGTTTGTATTCAGTAAAACAGAGTATTGTGAAACAGAGAAAAGGTAACTTCATGCCTGTCTTTTACTTAAGGGTTTCTTAATAGACAAAATATTCTCGCTTGAGTCCAAATTACATTCACCCGTGAGGTTAAATCTGTAGATAATATAATTGAGGAAATTGTATGTTCTTTTCTTTTTTTTTGTATGTTATCTCTCAGATAATAATGGTAACCATGATATCACAGACCAGCTGTGGTAGGTACCTGGAGGAACACCCAACAGCTGGGCCAAAAGCACTATCAAGAATTCGTCTACGATCGAATATTAGCAAGACGTAAAGTACATCTCTATCTGAAGAGATCACACGGAATAAACTGTCTTTGTTCGGCAGCCGACCTGAAAGGAGATCTACCAAAGATTACTACTACCTGTTTCTACTATTGTATAATTATAAGCTTCCAGACTTTGCATGAAAACCTGGAGAGTCAGAGTAAAAGGCACAAAGTCAGACCTCACAACTTACAAACAGAAACACATCCAGCTGAAGTGATGATCCTTGATGAAGCTGCCATAGTGAATGCGTTGCCTCCTGTAAAACATTTAATAATATCCCAGCAATATCTTCTGGTCCTGTATTATGCAACACCTTCACTATATTCCGAGATTGAACAATGTTTGGGATCAGTACCTACCTAAGTTTCCAACTCTTACAGTAAGTTAACAGCACGAAACAAAAGAGGAACAGATGCCCAAAGTCGAAAAGAAAGCTTTACCATTATACCACACATCTGGTCAGGACACTTGAGGGTGGCTGACAACAAAGCAGAATTATCCACATTCTTGGCAGATTATATGAGCAGTTTATCCTCAGATTAAGATAAACGGATCTACACAATTCAGCAATTTCCCGAATTGGAGGTGTCCACATTTTGCCAGGTACACAGGAAGAAGCAGATACAATATATATATATATATATATATATATATATATATATATATATATATATATATATATATATATATATATATATATCATGTAGATCCACAATGAAAACGTAGATAAGATAAATCTTGCAAAAATCACACGGGAAAAAGGACAGAACGGAGCACCTTAGCTTTCGTCTTTATTCAAGACATCTTCAGAGGCAACTGGATTACATGGACAGAGAGAGGCTTAAATATACAGGGTGACCTTATTAAGCATGAGGTCAGGTCATAATGATGTCATCCACTAATCCCCACACCAACACACACGTAGAGGAGCTTAAGAGAAGGGGGCGATGTGACTAGTCAGGTCAGGTCAAAAATAAGGGACCCACTAAATCAGGCCACCGATCAATCTCAATTCGCACAGTGAACACTGATGTCGTTGTATTGGCATGTCTGTTGCTCATTATTTCCCAGCATTACAAGTGTGGATGGTATATGGAACCGGCAAGAATGCGAGGAACCTTGCAACACACGAGATAGCAAGGAATCTATGAAACAGGAGTTCAAAGACATTTCCTACTTCTCATACATTCACCAGATGTGACAGTTTTTATATTCAGTTACATTAATAAGAAGATAGCATGGGAGACACGGTTCTCGTATGACCTAGATAACTGACACACTTGTTGCTCTGCGCGAAACACCAAAAGACTTTTGTGATGATACATTCCATAAACCTAAATGGTATGTTATATTGCTGTATGACAGGGCGAGTGAGTGGAAATTGTGGATGCCGCAAAGCAATCCTCTGTTTATAAGGACAATGCCGAAAATCAGATACCTCCCACACAGGTAGGGGCAACACGTAAGCTTTCAGGCTGGACTATATTTGGGGTCAAGCCGTAATTAGTGCTCCTGTAGTTTCATATCCATTCGAATCTAGAGTTTGGTATCCTCTCTAGTCTAGTCTGAACTTCCAATGGTTACTGAGGCAGTGCCGGATTGAGAAGTGTTCAGAGTGTGGCCAAACAGGATCCCCCACATTTTAGGGGCACCCAACTTTAGATATAAAAATAAAATAAAAACAATTCTTCTTCTTTAGGTGTATATTTATTATGCCACTGGTTAGTTAGTTTTTCAGCGGTATGTAGTTATAAACCTGGGGTGGGTTGTTTACTCAGAGGTTTAAGGCAAACATAAATTTCTTATATTCTAGGCCGGGTAATAAATGTTTTTAGGGAGTTTTACTTTTGTAACACAACGTCTTATGGGTGTGTTACTAAAATTAAGTTGTCGTCTGAACTGTACAAATCCCAAATCCGGCGCTGTACTGAACTATGCTTAGAGCACATCACTTGTCGGTGTAAACAAGGTTGCCATACTTGATGCGTATTATAGTTTGTCAGTCATTTTCTTGATTTTATTTTTCGTTTACATGTTATGGTTTTGGTTTATATTCTTTGCGGACCATAAAGCTTAGACAGTTTTATTTAATGTCTTATATATTTGTAACTATGGAATTGGCAAATGTTTGTGGTCAATAAACCTATGTATCTGTTTAATAAAGTTTTGTTGCCCTGCGCTTAGTTCCTAATTGTAAGTTGACTGAAGGTCTCTCTACTGAAGTCTATGACTCTATATTGTTTTAACTGTCTCACTTGGTCCACAGTGCCGGAGGAGACATATATTGTTTTAACTGTCTCACTTGGTCCACAGTGCCGGAGGAGACAGAGGAGGGGGAAGAGGTGGGCCGCACACCCAGGAAATGTCTTGGCCCCCCGCCCCGGAGCTCCACTATTGCCACGCTACACACCCTGTCCGTAAGTTTCCCTCACAGGTGGTGAATATTATTTCGCGAAGGGTGAAATCAGACAATATTGGTTCACCCTTGTTGACCGTCTCTTTGTTAACTGAATTTGACTGACTGAATTGGTTTAAGCAATTGACGGACCATGCTCAACCCTGAGTAACCTTTCTGTTGACCTTTCAGTCTCAGGAGAGTGAAGAGAAGGAGGATGAAGTGTCACATAACTCCAGCCCCAGCCCAGAGTCACGCCCTGACGACATCAAGAAGGTTTGTAATAGTGCAACACCCGCGCATGCATCCCTTTTCATGTACAGCCACACACACGCGTGTATAACATGTTAATTTACTGTTATACATACGACCAGGACCGTCCATGTCAACTACAGAATCTTAACTGGTTTGTCCTGCTCGTGATTATTGGCTCGACTTAACAATGAATTAGCTTGAAAACCTCCGCCAACTTCTACATAAAGATCTGCCCAAACAATTATAAAGTCAGAGGGGTTACCTTTCCTGGTAATTATTCCACACACTCCGTCAAACGATTGAGACGTCAAAAAACATTTTTATTGTAATTCAGTTACAATATATACTGTTTCCTGAATGTCACTGACATTGCGATATTATAGAGAAAATTGTTTTCTACTGACTGTAACGCCCATTTAAGATGTTGACAAAACTTTTTAGAGTATTCATAACTAAGACTCGATATCACCAAATATTTTAAAATAGATATCAAATGAGACGATATTACAAAACAACAGTTAATTTGGGCAGAAGGTTTTTTACACTTTGATATCTGGTATAGAACCTAACCTTAACTATCCCCTTAGCCGAGGGGCTCCGTCCCCCGGACCCCTCACTTTTTTATTTTACTTTTACCCTCTTCGCCACTGATCGGGTCGTTAGCCGTAAGGGCGGTCAGTCAGGTCTCTCATACGCACTGTTGGCAAATACTGGGCATGCACTGGCTCCTGAATATATCGGAACCTGCTCCAGTGTTGGTCAAATCTGACCTTGAATGAGCTCACACTCGGTGCTGTCACAACGCTGTCTGGCAGATCGTTCCAAGAGTTCACAATTCTGATTCCGAAAAAGTTTGCCCTCACAGTTTTCTGGACTTGTGGCTTCTTCAACCTTGAGCTGTGACCCCTTGTGGGGCGGACGTCCGCCAGCTCCAGGTATGTACATTCGACCGAGTAGTGCCCCCTGAGATGTTTATACATTTCGATTAGGTCGCCCCTCGCCCGTCTGTAGTATAAGCTAGGTATTTGCAGGCTCTCCAGTCTCTCTGGGTAACTGAGGTTCCGTAGAGCAGGCACCAGTCTGGTGGCCCTACATTTTTCAATCAATTGGCATACCTCGGGGACCAGACAGGGTGCTGTGGACATGAGAGTATGCTCGGACCAAATGACCCGCTCAGTCCGAGCGGGATGGGCATCTGCTAATTCCAGTGTATAAACACGACTGAGTAATTTCCTCTGAGTTACTTATAGACTTCTATAAGTCATCTCTTGCCCATCTATAGTATATGTTAGGCAACTGCAGGCATTCTAATCCCTCAGGTAAATGAGGTATAGGTAATAGCTTTCTTACTATATTTCGTCACTAAATTTTGGCAATTTCAAGAAATGACAAGGATTTTGAAATTTTGTAATACAAGTACAGTACTGTACTGTTGTTGTATTATTGTGGTGATTTTCTCCTGAGCAGCATACAAACACTTTCACAGCGGTACAAATTACCAGCTACTGTTACATTACACTGAACCTGAAAATTATGTACCGGTACATTTATACACAAGTCTCATTTTCCCTCTCATTCTGATAGTCATACAAATGTTCACACACAAACAAACATACACAATTATGTGTATATTTGAATCAAATCACAAATTCCCAAATACAAAAACTGAATTTGACCTTCTTTAATCCAAGTTTGACCCCCAGGTTCGTGTGGCTGGAGGTGAGCCAGAACTCGTCACCAACACACCGTTGTTCCAGCAGCTCCTCAACAGCAATGATCTAGAGGTGAGCGACCTAGAGTCCTCCCTAAGGCTCAAGAAGGATCTGCGGCCCTCAGCATACCCAGAGACTACTAGACCCCCGCCTGAACCTAGACCTCCACTACTGCAGGTCCAGGTGCGGAGGAAGGGAGGTAGAGAGAGGGGAAGGAGGGTGTGAGGAATTGAGGTAGAGGGAGAGGAGGGAGGTAAAGAGAGAGGAAGGAGGGTGTGAGGAAGGAAGGTAGGTAGAGAGAGAGGAGGGAGGGTGTGAGGAAGGAAGGTAGGTAGAGAGAGAGGAGGGAGGGTGTGAGGAAGGAAGGTAGGTAGAGAGAGAGGAGGGAGGGTGTGAGGAAGGAAGGCAGGTAGAGAGACAGGAGGGAGGGAGAAAGGGAAGCAGTAACTTTTTGTTTTACGGGGACTGGCCCACCAGGGCACAGGTCAATGGCCCACATGAGGGCCTGGTGGGTGAAAATAAAAAAAAAAAATAATAATAATAAAATCAATAGTGAGAAATGATTTATGTGTGTTGTGTTGTCATTAGTAAGAGAAATAATTGAAACCTTGCAACTGTGTGTAAATTAGGCAGAATGTCAGATCAGCAACCTGGGACTTGGTCACAATTTTTGTGATGCCATATGGCAGCAGGATCCACCATTAGACAACACATTATGCTTGCAATATCTTCCCAGGCGGTAGTACCTCCCTGTTTGATAGCTGCCTGCTACCTACATTGATAATGACTTTGAGACATGATGGCTTAAAACTACAGTCATAAGTGTTAACTGTCCCTCTAGTACAGTATGATGATGTGTCTGTCTATTTATGACAGGTGGTATAACATGATGACTGATTATATTTGAGGATGAGAACTTAGAAATGTGAATTCATTTCTGTTAGTACAGCATGTATATTTTATTAATTCAGCTTTATATTTCTTTATATCTTTCTTTTGGAAGATGAAAATTTAATGACAAATTTCCTGGATATAGTGTATCTTGTATATTTCTAATTCTGTTATTGCCATGTCTGGACACTGATAAAGTGTCATTACTTATTTTTTATTCTCAATCACATTTGTTCTATCTTTTCTGACCTTAATTTTCTTTACCATATTTACCATATATTGCCCCTGATTTCTCCTGACCTCTTCAATTTCCTAAAAACCACACAATAGAGGAAAATGTCCATAAATCAGTGATGATGACATTCTGACTTTCTGTGGTCATCTCACCCTTTCTGACTCTTAAATAGTAACTGTAGGCATTCCTACATTTCTTTGACCTGTTCTAACATTCCTTGACCCATTCAATACAATTTTTAAAACTTCTAATGCTTCCAGACTTTGTTAATCACCTCGTATGACCCTCAGCAGGGGATAGCGGGCTTTCTGGATGATCCTCACCCAACCACAAAGATTGGGTTCAAGTTCACATCTCGAGGTAAGAGGTCAGAGAGGAAGAAGAGCGTCACTAAGCGTCCTGGGGTGGATCGAGATTGGCGCCATGCTGTTGAAGGTCCAGCATCAAACACACCCTCAGAGTCTGGTAAACCATGACACTTATATTCACAGTTAGTTTAGATTGTCAAGAGATATTATATACAGTATTAAATTGGATTCTCAAAAAGATTCATACAGTACATTCATATGTATTCTCAAAGATTTCTTACGTTCCTAGATTAAAATTGATCCTTTTACTGATCTTTATTCTCTTCACAAGGAGGTCGGTCATTTCTCTGTTCTTAAAGAGGTCCATAAGATTCATTAACTTGGACTCTTAATTTCACTTGTTCATTCAGTATGTCTTTTTGGATTCTCAAAGATTTGTGTGGTAACTTAGATTTCAGATTCTGATGTTAATTTACCTTCTCCATTTCATAATTTGGCTTTATGAAAATTGGTAAGTTACATTTTCTACAATGCATGAGATGAATTATGGTAGACTACATGCAATTACAAATTTACAACTAAGCAGGTGAAGTGATAATGTATTCAGTTAGAATCTGTGGTCAATAATCCTGTATCTCAATATACTGTATACTAAACATGAATGGTACAAACAATGGCTCTAGACATTTAGTACCAGTAAAATTTTGTTCTAACAATTTAATATGAAAAAGAAACACCCTGTCTTCTCTGTAATATATGACAGTTGAATTCTCATCTACTGCCAGAACCTTTCATTCAAGAAGTCATGAGAATTAGAAAAACATTCAATGTGATTTTTCTCTGAGCAATCGATCCCAAAATTGATCTTGAGGAACGATTAGTTTTGTCTTGAATATTCAAAATATTGATATTTGGGCCCTGCAATGGTAAGTTCAGCTCATTTAACTTTGAAAGTATATCTGTAAGATCGGCTAGTTTCCTAAGCCAGTAATCTGGATGACATAAAATTAATTTTCCATCAAAATAGTCTAATCTCGTCTCAGTTCATACATACTGACAATTATTTTGCTGCAGAACAGCCAAAGCACCTCTGTGTGTAATAACAAGCAGTATAAGAGGAATTCATCTCTTCACACAAAACAGTAAACACTTGCAAATTAAGGGGTTCTAGCATTAATGAAATGTACTTCAGTACTTTGATGACTTCATCAAGCACAACCTTGAGTTTCTCGATGAAAACAACAGCCTTCCATTGGAGGACAACGTTTATAATGAGAGCTAATACACCTTATATTGTGCCTGTTATAGCCTTTGCACCATCAGTACAAACACTTGTGCAGAGATTCCGCTTCAAATATCCTGGCCTTTTATAATAGTTTTAAGGGATTGGCACAACAAAAAATCTTCATGCACAGACTTAAAAAAATAGCAAACAAATACAAAAAGTATTGCTAACCCTGCCACATCAGTCGACTCCTCAGATTAATTGGTAAAACCAACAGGATTGCTTTTTGAATGGTTTTCTAATGTTGTCGCCTTGTTCTGATTCTATTATCAATTGGGATATCTGGAACCAATATCCTGAATTTATAATATGTATCCAAATGAACAGAATGGTACATAATAGACCATCTGTTCTATTTTATATACCTATTAAAATTTGAATTTTAGACAGTGCAGAGGTGGAACAGACGACTTCAGTTGCGAGTGTTCCCCGCGAGTCTGCTGTAGACCAGACTGTTTACTATGAAGAGAAGATTGCCCCCATCCTCGACGAGATCAACCGAGCAGTTAGCTGTGGTGAGTGTGGGAGAAAGAGTAGCCAGGAGAGGGAATGTAGGGTAGATGGGACATTGGAATGAGATGTGAATGGGAAAGGGAAAGTATGAGGAAAATGGTGCAAGAGAGAGGAATGTGAGTGATAGAGAGATAGAGAAAATGAGGGGGAAGAACAGAAGGATAGGAGAGAACATAGGATAGGTAGGAGGCAGGGTGAGTGTGAGAAGAGAGGGAAGGATAGGGAGAGAGAGTGGAGGATGATGTTGGGAAGGTGAGAGATAGAAGAGAGTGAAGTTAAGTATAAGAGAAGGGGGTAGATGGTTGATGGGAGAGTGTATATGAAGAATATACTGTATAGATATTAGAACGACTGAGAGAAAAGGTAGGAGGAATAAGGGACTTCAGAAAGTGTTTTCTTCATTGAACATATGCAATTCTAAATGACCTCCAAAGGATTGATTCACTTGCTAAACTTCCTGGGGTTCTCAGATCCTGTGGCAGTCTGTAGCAGTGGATTGAACTGTACTTTTACATAATGCCTGAAGCTTGGAGTGAGGAACTCCTAATTAAAATGTCCAAATTAGAGTACATAAATACCTGTAGCCTTAATTTTAGAGTACAGACATAGCTTTATTCAAAATATAGGAATAAGTGACTTTGCTTTTGTCTCAAAATACTTTGGCTTCTTTCTCTCTTATGACAGTGGCAGAGAAGATGCAGGAAGAGCTGGTTTCTGGAGGCTGAAAGTATACTGGGGCCTCATCTTACCTTACCCATTCTCAAACTTACCTTCCCAATCCTTTACAGTTATATAACCTCTTCCTGTTTTCTCAGCTGTGGCCGAGGATGTGCTAGGGGAGCTGGTAGGCAAGCTTTATGGGTGCCTGGAGGCTGGAGGACTACTAGGACGTCATTTCCGCTATAGGTCACAGGTGTTGAGGGTAGTGTTCCGCCTGGTAGACCGAGAGCATGGAGCCCTCCTTGCCAACATTGCCAGGGTAATGCTAGCGGTAAGTGCATTTATTTATTTTTTTATGGTCTTCTCGGGTTGTCAGGAGTCATTCACTGTACTTTTTATGGTGAAGAAGTGGTCATCAAGGATTGGATAGGGTTACTTTGGGTGAGTTCATCCTGAGTTACCAGTATGTAAGGTTACCGTGGGATGCATAATATACATTAGAGTATATTATTTTACTTAAATTTTTTATAATTTGCCATCATATATTTTCACATAACTATTAACTTAAGATTCTTAGATATTAATTTGGCTTTATATATATTCTTCTGTTTTTCATAATCATAGCCTTGTTAATGTCCCACCACAACAGGGTATGTGTGAGGGGGTAGTGTTACCCCAACCTGTCCTTCTCAATGAAATTGGTTTTAATTCATTAAGTTGGGAAGGACTTCATGGATAAGTATGAAATTAGATATTCAGTGTCATGCTGTATCATGAATATCTAGGCAGAATTTGTTGCATTATTCATCTGAGTAATGATCCCTGTTTTGGGCTTATATTACCTTGAGATATCTAGTGATGTTTTAAATGTTCAGTATATTTACTGTTCCAAATACATTATACTGTTATTTATTTATCAAGCAATGAACAAATCCTTGTCTAATTGAAAAAAAATCCTCCACAGCTGAAGGTGTCTGGCAGCAACCTGACCTCAGTGTGCAAGCTGGTGTTCAAGGTGACCCGCCATGATGCCAATGACTCCCTCTTCTTGGAAGGAAATCTGCTTGATCTGCTGTTAGAGGCTGTGGCATGCGTGCCCCCCCTTGACCAGCCTGAGGCATGTGTCTACGGCTATGGTGCCCTCAAGTTCCTCACTATGAACTCCCAGCTGGTGTCCAGGCTGTTAAACAGAGGGGTCCTGGAGCTGCTGGTGCTGCACATGAAGCTGATTGTTAATCATGTGAGTGACAAATCCATAGGGGGGATGGGGGAAGGAATTTGGAAGAGAAAGAAAAGTGTGAAGAGGAAAAGAGAAGTTGATGGAGGAAGAAAAGAGATAGATTGGAGCTAGAGAAATAGAATGAGAGGGAAGGGAGATAGAGAGGAGGACTGATGAAGGGTAGTACTGAATGGTAACGGATTTGTATGAATGCACAGTATAGTTCTGTATCACGAGCACACATACATTTCTTAGGTGTATGTTTGCATAAGTGTTTATAAACATTTGCAGTATTGTAGTAAAGTTAAGTTGAATAAAAGACCTTAGTAGACACTTGACACAAAAAGAATACATTCATGTTACAACACTAGTGCTCTTACTAAATGTCTTAGTACTACAGGTATAAACCCTTGAAAACAGATCTTAGGAACCTGGAGGTCATCAGAAACAGGACACTTATAAACCAACTGAATACATTTTACTTCTTAAGTCACTAAATAAAATTAAGATTGTTGGATGCATACATAAAAAAAAAATGAAATAAGATTTTTTTATAAGTTGAAAAATCCCTTGGTAGACTTACATAGCATCTTATCTTGAGTTTAGTTATGTCTAACTCCCTGAATATTTTTTGTGTGTCCGGAAACATTTGCAAGAAGTAGAGAGCCCATAAATAATTAATGTTTGATTGAATAAATACCCTAATACTGTACAGCAATGTCCCGTTAGCCAGAACAATTGGTGCAGAACAATTCTTGGTTTGAGAGATTATCAGGTATTGAGACAAATTTTCCTACCCCCCAAAAATTGCACATCTATGGAATTTTTCCAGGCATAGGTGAATGTGTCCTCATCTAAACAGAACAGTACTGTATTTATTTATGCAAACACTACTGTACTGTACTGTACAATCAAAGACAAAAGTCGTGTTGCGGTTTTGTCCCAAGATTAAATATAACTCGTGAAACATTATGAGAACCCCCTACCACAAGGCAGAGCGCACCGAAAGTTTAGCCCTTTGGCATATGTTTTCACCAAATTTCACGACACGACTTTGTCTTTCATTGTACATGTCCAGTATATTGTAAATAACAAATTACTGGATACACGTACTATCGTAAACAGTACAGGGGGTCCCTGACTTACAAACAGGGTTAAACTTGAAATTTACAGTATTTTATTTACAGTACCTGGTACCTGATGACTTATTTTTTACTTTCATTTATTGTATTTTGTCATTCTACTTCTTCTTTTGTCCTAAATTAAGTGATTTTAGATGTACTGTACATAAGAACTTAGGCAGGGCTGGATTAACCATTAAGCAAAATAAGCACGTGCTTAGGGCATCAAGGGAAGGGGGGCACCACAGAAATTTTCCATAGCCGGATTTACCATGGACCATGGACCATATGGTGCAAAACTGCCCACACATTAAATGAAAAAAATACATACATATATATACAATAATAATAATAAATAGTAATTATAGAAGTTAATGATATACATTAATCTTGGGGATACAGCACAACAAAATCAGGTGTTGCAGAACTTACATGAAGTTTGTAAGCTAAACTTTTCAAAATGTAGGGGTCAATCTTACGACAACGCTGCAAACATGTCTGGGCGTTATAAGGGGATACAGCAAAAAATTCTAGAAACAAACAAGTTTGCTATATATGTGCCCTGTGCGGCTCATTCACTAAATCTGGTAGGCCGACGTGCTGTTGACTGCTCTCAAGAGGCTGTTAATTTCTTCTCTACAGTGCAGTTGCTCTATACTTTTTTTTCAGCCTCAACCAGCCGGTGGAAAATTCTTAAAGGTTGTATTGGAAATGAAAGTGTCTTAAAATCCCTCTCTGATACCAGATGGGAGGCGCATGCTATGGCAACAGCAGCAATTTTGAAATCTTTCCTTAAAATTTTAGAAGCGTTAGAATGTATAGCCGAAGACCAGTCACAAAAGGGAGACACAAGAAGAGAAGCAAATAATATTGCAAATAAGATGCAAGAGCTAGAATTCGTTTTTACGTTGAATTTTTGGAATGAGATTTTGCAAAATTTTCATAGAGTAAGCCAAGTTCTACAAAATGAGGATGTGAACTTAAAAACATGTGCAGATCTGTATGGATCATTAGCTGACCAACTGTGCACTTCACGAGATAAATTTGAAAGATATGAAGCAGCTACAAAGGATATGCTTCCAGATGTTGATTACAAGGCAGCTCAAACTCGCAAACGTATCAGAAAGAAGGTACCCAGTGACGGAGATGCACCAGAAGTATATCTGAATGCCAGAGATAAATTTCGTATCACCACCTTTTACACAATTATTGACAAACTTGAAACTGAGATGAGAAGAAGAGGAGAGATATACTGTATAAAGAAATAGCAGACAGGTTTTCTTTTCTAAGTGATGTGCCACATAATGCCACTTCATCATCTACTGAAATTGAAAGGTATTCTCAGTGCTGTCAAAAGCTGATTGATGCTTACCCAGAGGATTTCAACACTAATTTCTTAGCTGAGCTTCAGCAGTTTCACTTATATGTGCGCCATAAATTCAGTGCAACAAAAAATGTAAAAACAAGATTCAGTCATGCTGAACTTTATAAAATGATTGTAGAAGACAATATTGAGTGTGCCTTTCCAAATGTTGATACGTATTGGCTTTCGTATATTTTTAACATTAATGGTCACAAATTGCTCAGCTGAGCGTTCATTTTCTAAGTTGAAGTATATTAAAAATCCCATCAGAACAACTATGCAACAAGGCAGGCTGGATGCCTTATCTCTACTAAGTATAGAAGCAGATGTGTTACATAAGACTAGTTTTGAGGATCTGATCAAAGACTTTGCAATTAAAAAAGTAGGAGATAACTTTTCAACTATAAATAAAGTGGACGTATACAAAAATAAACATTATTTTCCATCTTACTGTAAATTTTTTTTAATTTCGAAAAATAACATTTTATTTTATGGTTTATTATTGTTTATATTTTGAATTACGTATATATGGGGGGGTGGGGGGGCACCAAAATCTTTTAAGTGCTTAGGGCCTCTAAGGGTCGTAATCCGGCCCTGAACTTAGGCTATGATATAGTGGGATTTTAAACATTGTTCTGTAAGTACAGTATACACATTGCATGTGTTCTGACTTATGTACAAATCTGACTTAAGAACGTCCTCAGGAATGGAACCCAATCGTAACCCGGGGATCCCCTGTACACTATATACTGTACTCACCAGCAGATGCTTTTGTCTTGAACTTGTGATGCAGGCAGGCCAAACTATGATTTGATAATACAGGATGGCTTGCCTTTGTCCTTTTTTTTTTACTTTACTTTTATCCTCTTAACCACTGATCGGCTCGTTGGCCGCTTGGGTGATCGGTCACGTCACTGTTATGCACTGTTGGCAAGTACTGGGCATGTACTGGCTCCTGAATGTTTCTGAATCTGCTCCAGTGCTTGTCAAGTCTGGCCTTGAAAGAGCTCACACTCTCTGGCAGATTGTTCCAAGAGTTCACAACTCTCACTCTGAAAAATTTACCCCTCACAGTTTTGTGGACTTGCGGCTTCTTCAGCCTTGAGCTGTGACCAAGCGTCCACCAGCTGTACTGTACTGTACTATCTACTGTAACAGTTGTTACTAACTGTCACCGTTGGTTGTACACCTACTCAATTAAACCCTATTTCCATTTTTTCTTATGAGTGGAAATTCCCCTATTTAAGTGGCGATTTTCCGAGCCCCATTAATCTCAGATAATTAGAACCCCTGTACTTCTATATCACTACCTGCTGCTCCTCCACCTGCTACTCGTACACCACTTTCACCTCTTGGTACTCTCCTCATAGCAGCAGGAAAGTGGGAGTGTACCAGAGCAGACCCACTATGCCTTGGTGCAGCTGACAGGGACACTGCGGCATGTCAGTAGCTGTGAGAGGACTTTTCCGCTCCTGCTGGTGACTGGTGCTGTGCCCCAGGTGTGTGCCCTTCTGCAGCACTTCTCCCATGACCATGATGTAACAGCTAATGTGGTCAGGATACTCAGGTGAGACGCTGGTATTATGAGGGAACTTGTAGGTGCAGTATTTTGTTTAACAGTGGTTCCCAAACATTGAGTCATTGCTCCTTTTTCACATAGATACTGTACTGTCATAATCGAGGGTTTACGGAAGTGACCCATGAGACATGCCTAAAGTCTTATATTGAACAGCTAAAGCTTAAAAATAAATATCAAGTGTCTCCTATACTGTACTTAAAAAAATATTTCTGTTGTCACTCACTGTCATCACTGGCAGCATTATCTCAACGCACGAGGAGTGTTGTGCAGCCGCGGCCGCACACCCAGCCACCCTCCCTGCTGCCGTGGCTGCCCTCCGCCGTCATGCTGCTGCCCCTGCCATCGTGGTGAGGCTGGCCTACGCTCTTGGCAACATGATGGCCAACTCGGATGATGCCAGATGGAAGGTGAGGGGCCACCGGCTTATTATGTGTACCTGTATTTAACGTTTAATATATTGCTTATTATCACCTGATGGTATACAATCAGACTTCTTTTCACAGACAAGATATTTTCTTTAGGAGTATCTATTAAGCGGATAAGCCTTTAAGAGGTTTTTATAACACTGTCATTTCTTATCCTATAAATGCTATGAGACCTTCCTTGGGTAACAGTAAGGGCTCTGCAGTTGATATTTGGGCTTTTTATTGACAAAACAAAAAATAATACTGTATAGCAAACTAAATGTAATCAACATTCACCAATTAATTTGTCAGAGTTCACCTACTGTACCTCAGCCCTCCATATCACTTGCATTTGTTCATTCACCCTATTGACTTCCCTGGTCACTTTGGCTGCTGCATGAAGACTCACCTGGAGCCCTTTTCCAGACATGATGAGTTTAGGAAGAAGTCAGTAGGTGTATAGAGAGCCTGCTGGTGTGAAACATATACATTGTTCTTTATTCCACTTACTCACTAAATTCTATAAAGACTCTTTATTTGTATGTTTTTCTATACAATTCTCTTCAGCATGGTTTTATGCAACTCATGAATTTATAATGATTTAAATATTTTAATAGATAATGGAGAAGGTACGAGTGGAATATATAGATGGTGTGAACATCACTCAGGTGTGTGGAGCCAGCCAGTGTGAGTGATCCATGCAGTTAGCCAGGTGTAAGATTGACAGACCACATAACCTGCCTTGGCATGTGTGTCGCTATTAAGACTAACACTAACTCTTGGGATCACAGCTCTTCAGTGAGGAAGGCTTCACGGAGACGCTGCTTGAGATTCTGACCGAGTACCTGCGACGTGACCGCCACCACCAGGCTGAAGAAATGGTCGACCCTCTCACCCCTGCTAGTGGTACCCCAGAGGACGTCATGGTCAAGGTCAGTTAAGTGTGATTATAAAATTCTCAACCATTTAGGTTTGGCAAAGATTTTTCACCATTTGGATTGGGTTAGCTTAAATTCCTTATGTTTGGATTACTGTATGTTAGTTTCAATATCCCTCTTTATCTGGATAGGTTAGAATGCATTACCACCTTTTTAATTAGAATTCCCCACCATGTATTTTCTTAGAGGCCCTTGTCATTTGGATGGTGTTGAGTTAGATTTTTCCCAACCTTATACACCATACAGATATACTGAACCCGGTACATTATCTCTGGCTATCTGTTCATTTTATCTATTTTTTCTGTACTCAAATATTCCATTTATTCTCCATTGATAATGTTTCCAATCCTACTCCATTGATGGACTTTACATTACAGGTATCCCTCACTTAATGAACGTTAGAGATACAAAATTTTACTTACACGAATTTCTTTTTTTTCATTGAACGAAAGCTTCCCCCACTTATACGAATTTGGGTCCCAACAAAAATTCTAACCACGCGCCCATGAGAGTCAGCTGTGGTGAGCCCTGACTGCCCTCCCTTAAGGTAATTGCTCCCACCATTCAGTTCATTTGTTTGAATTCACAGCTGAGGATGATGGTGTGCCTTTTAAGTGTCACACTTAACATTGCTGGCATTGTTGTTAAGTTAGACTCTTTACTGTAGTCACATCCCGCTAGTCCTCTTGCTTCCAAGCCAAGCTGTAAGCTACATTATGGTTATTATTCAACTTTTAAATTCATGTCGATAAACTTGGCTTTCGTTGTTTGTTTTTTTGTTTTTTTAATCATTTACATGTGCACACGATCCTACATACAGAATGTGCCCCAAAAAATAACAACACAATATACTGTCGATTTAACGGAATCCGATATATTGAACTCTCGATTTAGCGGAAGGAATTTTTTTCGTTATTTTTCACTCGATTTAGTGAACTATTACACGTTAATATGCTCACACCAACAGAGTCATCTCAGACATATAATACTGTATGTACATAGAAACATTATTCGTGGCTTCCCGTAAACTAGATGATGATTTGGCTATGATTTTTTGTAAGTTGTTTTAGCCTTCCTGCATTATTTACTCTAGTTCTGTTATTTTTGGGATTGAGTTTATCTTGTTCTTTGTCTAACTTATCTATCTTGGTTTCATGATACTCTACAGTCTTTAATAGCTCCTTAACTTCTTTCATAAATTCTGTACAGAGAAACATGGCATGATTATTGTCAGAACCTGAGATGCATTTGTAAGCTTTAAATAGATTTTCAGTCAATCCTAAGCATTCCTTGTGATGCTCTATCTCGCAATTATGGCATGTAAGGTCCCCGACTTTGCTCCCTGAGGGCTCATTGCAGGAACCATAGGTGCTGCCAGTCCTTTTTTATTTATTTACAGGTGTATTGAATTTTGGATTGCCTGAATTAACTTGTGCTACTATGTTCTAAATGTGGCAACGTTGACAAACACTTGGCAAGCTGCAGTGGGTATACTAATTCTCAGCTTAGCTAATATTTGTTGCACAATTTGCTGCCTTTCTAGGGAGAGGAAAACTTTCTTCCCTGAATTATGATTTTTATGCAGCTTCTGGGTATATACTGTACACACTTTTAACCCTAAATGTAGTGATTTACCGTACCTGTTCCAACAGTGGTAGAGGTGGTGGAGGTATACATCCGGGCTGTTGGGGGGTGCAGGTGTGAGGTGCCTCCCTTGACTCCAGTGTACAAAAACAGTCGGTTTAATGGTGCCAGTTACCGGTACTTCAATTGCATTTGATTGTTTAGTTCAAGTTCACAAAGGCTGCTTATTGTATTTTTGTGCACTGTTCACTTACTGCTAATGTACCACAGTATATTATTGTAATACAAATTAAAATTTATGGCTTGATATACTGGTGGCACCACAGTGACCTGATGGTGCACTAGTTACCAGGTTGCAAATTTTCCCTCATTCACTATAGTATTCGCCTGTTCTTTTATATACTACTGTAAGTTGGTGTTCCTTCACTATATTACCCAGTCTTTCTATGGTGGGTAGCTCACTGTCACCACTTTTGGATATCTCTGGTTTGTAGCTCTGTTTTCCTCTGGTTTGTAGCTCTGTTTTCCCCTTTTTTTCCCTATACTGTACTCTGGTAGTCTAAGGCAACTGTTAGTTATCCATTAGGCATTTCACTCAAACTAATTAAGTTTATATTTTCTCTCGGTTTCTGACAAAATGCAGCACTAATAAGAGTAGTGTAGTTTCTTTACCAAACTAACCTTGGTGATATTATGAGTTCACTGCCCGAGTCAAGAGTTCCTCGCAAGGAATGGTTCGAATGACATTTTTTTTTTTTTTGAAGGACCTGGCATGTCTACACATCTACTAATGGTAGTGTTTCCATAAGTAAATTGGTTGTCAGGGTTTTGAATACTTCAATACTGCAGTGAAAACATTCCTTTGTTGTGGCTTATTGCATTTAGTAACTACAGTATCACTACTGCTGCTGTTATTATCTCTAGTTTACCTATTTATCTCTATTATGATTAATTTACCATCTTCTCTCACCAGCTGATCCGTGTGCTGGCCAATGTGTCGGTGCATACACGTGTGGGACCTGTGTTAGCTCGCTCACGGACGTGCTTATCTCTGTTGATCTCCGTGCTCCAACACAAGGCAGTGGATGAGAGTGAGGAGCTAGTTCTATCTGCTCTGGCAACTCTGAATAATCTGACTTTCTACACCCGTGACCAGCCAATCTCTGCCTTGCACACACAGCTGGCAGAATGTAAGTGACATTTGAGAAGATGGTGAAAGGGAAGGGAAGAAAAAGACAGAAGAAGGAGAATGGAAATGGAGAAAGGAAAGGACTGTGAAACAGGGTGTGCAGAAGGATAGATTGACTAGAGAATGTCTACTATGCTGGTAACCCTGGTTAGATTAGAAGTTAGCAGAGCTGCCTACTCACTCAGTTTTTGAGATATCCTGAACAACATTACTATTGGGGGGTTTTACCAGAAGAGATAAGTGGCTTCCATTTCACTAAGCGTTAAAATTTTCTCCCAATTTTATCTGGCCAATGCAACTACAGGTAGTTAAAATCTTTGCAAAATTTGTATTGCTCCTGTTTCAGTTGTTACCATTATATATCATACAGACTACTCCTGTAACTAAATCAAAAGCCTCGGCTAATTTATTTTTAACTTTGTTCCATCATTTAAACCAGTTACTTCTTAAAGTTAATAGCTCTGAATTAAGTGGCCATGATTTCATCTAAAAAAAGTGATATCAATGCAATTTACCATAATATAGAAGACCCATCCTCTGTGATTTGGATGTGAAACATACTCCAATTACAGCAGCTTATCACTGCCACAAGTCATTGACCATTATCCTTTTCGCCTAGGTTGAGATCAACAAGAGTTTACCTACATCAGACCAAGATACTGACGCACTAATCACTGTACTTTAATTGTATTTAAATTTCACATCCCTGAGACCTGTATTCTGACACACCATTTGTAATTGATAGGTTTGTGTGACATGTTACCTATGGACCACGTGGAGGGCTTGGTGGAGACTATCCGGGTGTTTGGTAACTTGACCCACTTCAGGGACATCCGGGACATACTCACCAAACGGGCTGGTATGTTTTCAGGGAGTTTATAAAGTCTCTTGATGTGTGTGTTACAATCGTTGAGGTAGTTACCTACACATTCAAAATATTGGTGTGTGTACCATTATTCTCTGGCAATGACTGTATTCTCTATCATGTCTGCCTTGACATTTTGTCTTCAACTTACCAGCAATATTGGTAGAGAACACTTCTTGACTGCCCTTGATGCATTCTTTACAAATCCACTTGCAAGTCCAACACATGGGACCAGGTTGAATAGTGCAGTTAAGTGTAGAAAATGGAGTATATGCTGACATTTTGGATGTACAGTATAACTTTAAGGACTAAGGACTAAACTCAAATATAATTTCCGTATTTAGATCCTGAAAGATTATTGCACTACAGTAACTGCCAATAAATATATAGTTGTAACATAATGTACAATAGTCTCTACATTGCAAATTATCAAACATTTTTGACAGGAGCTTGTTAGTAGAGGTGTCCTCTCCAGAGGTAAGCTCTTGTCGTAGTGCGCTCTCTTCAGTGGAAGAACATTAAAAAAAAAATCTCGGTGTTTTAAATAATACCTCAACACTAATCATAACCTTTGGGAAATTTTACTATGCTAGAAATATTTAATGTTGCTTGGTTTAAACTAAAGGTTAAGTTTTATTTACTTGTCCCTAAGTGATGCTTCTACTGCCAGCAGTTTGGCCAAGATGGCCCAAAAAATTTTGGGGTTATAGTCATTCTCAAGAACTACCTGTAATATGTGTCATGTGCTGGTGTTATCCATGACAGGACTGAATGTGAAACTCCATGTACTGTACTGTGTTTTGTGGCAAGAACTATGTTTCCTCTAATAAACTGTGTGATTGTTATTTGCTTGAAGAAAATATTAATGCTTTGGGCCATTGAAATGATTAGTTTTGCAGATGCAAAAAATGTGTATTTTCTCTACCCACCCTGGAGTCATTTGCTGGCACAAAAGCTCAAAGTCATTGTTACAATGTCCATTTTCAGTAACTCAAAAACACAAATTGGAACTTTGAAGAAGTCCCTTAGTTCACCAATCCCTTCCCATCACAGAGGAACTAATGGATCAGTGTTTTATACAAATTGATGTGAAAATAATAATTTCTAAGGCCTACAGTAAATACCGGTGCCTGAAAAAAATGCATGAATTTCTCTGTGCATTAATGGAGCGGGTAAAGTCATTGCATATTATTATTAATATTATTATATTTGAATACAGTATTTGAGATATTTGAGGGGAGGGGTTCGGTATACAGGTAGTCCCCGAGTTACGAACACCTGACTTATGAATGGGGTCCAAATACAGTGTATTATTCATCACAAAAATCTAACAAAAATCCTAATTTTTACATTACTTTCATTATTTTGTATTTTTTAACATCACTTTATTTACATTATTTGGTACGTATGGGATATTGTTGTTGTTTTGCATGGGCAGGGTTGTGCTTTAACCTAATCTCATCTATGGAATTAACACTGTTCTGACTTACGAACAGGTTCCAGGAACACAACCCATATGTAATTTGGGGACTGCCTGTACCGGATAGTGAATTCATTCAGTATAGAAAGGTAATACATTGCTGGAATCTGAGGAGTGGTTCGGTAAAATAGTGGATTTTGGTAGAATATACATATAGAAGTTCCAATATAGAGAGGTGATACTGTAGTTCACAAAATTGAGGGTCACTTGGTGTTTCATACCTAATTTTCTCCCTCAGTGTTGGAGGTATTGGTGGAGATGTTAGACTGTGATTCCCGAGAGCTAGTGTACGTGTGTGCTGGTGTTCTCGTCAACCTTATGTCTGATGCTTCAAGAAGATCTATATTCAAAACTGAAAATGGAGTTCTCAGGTATGGTCTATTGTTGCATATGTGTGAATGTAATGATAACCTGTTTGTTAGAATATACTTATATTCCTTAAAATTCATTTGCAAAACTTCTTCAACCTTCCAACTGTCATGTATGGTACAATTTGAGCTAAACATAGTTTGTATGGGGTTTGTGTGTCCATACAATATGTTATTACATGGTATATTACAAGTTTAGGACCTGTCAATCTTACTGAATTGAGCACTTTTTATAATATAATTAATTAATTATGCCCTCTGAATCATTCAAACATTAGTTTGTTAATCTTCAAGCATTCATTTAAATAGTTCCAAAATGGGACATTTTAACCCATAAAGCCTTGGCGATGTAAGACCCACCGGACCCTCACTTGGGCATATTTCAGCAAAACACAAAACAAAAAACATTCAATATAAACGATATGGCTTAGAAATAATGAAAATGTAATATAAAACCATAAAATAAGAAAAAATTAAAAGCATGGGTGTGAATGTGTGGGAATTGAACGAACGTGTGTATAGGTGGTGGGCTGTAACTACAAGGCTAACTCGCCAGCCAGGCTGCAACGTTTATTGTTTGTTACTTGTAATGAAACTATAGAAGTTGTCGAAAAATCATGACATTACTCTAATGAGGCTTATAAATAAATACAATATAATATAAAACAAGAAAATGAAGAGCTTGAGTGTGTATGTGTGAGAAGGTGGTTATAGCCAAGGCCTTGGCTAAAACTACATGACCAACTAGCCAGCCTTGTATATTGTTACTTGTAATGAAAATATCAAAGTTGTGGAAAATCATTATAATGCTGTACTCTAATGTGGCACAGAAATATGGAAAACATAATATAAAATTATACATTAAGAAAAATGGAGAGCATATGTGGGAAGTGAGTATACAGTACGTTGAGGCAGTAGGTTACTGAGCTATAACTGCATGACTGTGATCCCTCTTGATGTAACGTCATGGTATACACAGTAGCACAGCAGCCGCATGTCTGTAAGTCAACTGGTTGTCTGCCTGAACTGTCTTTTACTCACAGGATGGTTTGAGTGTGGAAGGAGCTATTTTTTTTTACATAAAATACGTACTATTATATTTTATGATACGTATCGATTTTATTATTTATCATAGCAATAAATATGGCAGCTATGAATTTCTGAACCATGAGGCAAGAGTCTTACTTTTTTCCTCTTCACCACTGATCGGCCCATTAGCCGCTTGAGACAAAGATTATGCATGAGTCGAGTTGCCAATTAAACAAATATCCAATACAACGTATTTCGTTCCACCTGGACATTCAAAATACTGTGCCGCGAAAATTAAGAATGTTGAGGAATGTCACCCTGGGTCGCCTTAGTGAACATAGAGGAATGTCATCCGGGTTTTAAGGGTTAATGCAGAACATGGAAAAAATTTGTAATAATAACTCTGTAGGTAGAAGGTTGTTGTCATACAAGAACTATGGCTACATTTGATAGAAGAATTGTTATATGCATTGATAGATTTAACATTTAAATTTATGTAGATACGCCACACATAATCTTTGTTGAGGGAGCAGCTAAATTGTACAGTAATATTTTTCAGCCTGAATCATTTGTTAAATCCCTGACACTTAGGTACAATATTTTTAATTAACAACAACTAAACATATCTGTTGCTTTAGAATCATTGTTTTTCTTTCTTATTGAACTCAGTGATGTAAAATAAGGGTACTTATGAAATTTTGAAGAGTAATATTAAAGCATTGTACTGTACAGGGTGTCCCTAAATTATTTTTACTATTTCGAATAATAATTAAAGGATGAGACATAACAGCATGCAGTCTGTACCATCTGGTATTCTGGCTCACTTTTTCTTGACATGTCAGTAGACTTTCAGATGTGCAATTACTGTACTGGCTCTCTGAACTTCTAACTGATATTAAAATTCAGCCCAAATCCTCAGCAACATATCCATAATCACACTGTCAATACAGTCTGTTAACCTCATTCATATTTTCACAATGTTTTTACAGATGTGCAATACATGATAACTTTCATATCCCAGAAATATGTCATGTATCACACATTTGTAACAAACATTGCAGAATTATGGACTAGGATTTTGGACTCTTTCACTAGCGTGACTGTCGACATGTAGCAAAAGTGGATTGAAATTTAAAATCAGCTAGACTTTCAGAGAGCCACTGTTGTGCAAATGTGAAATCTGTTGACATATCAAGAAAAAGTATTTGGATTACAGATACAAGGTGGTCCAAACTGCTTGTTTGCATGTCTGTTAGTTATTTTTTTTAATTTACATTAAAAATAGTACAGACAATTTTAGGATAAATCCTGCATACAATACTGTATTGATGCCCAGTCTTTACATACTGTATGACTATTACTGTATCTGGACTTGTGTTAATTTTTAGGTTTTGACTAAATTCGAGTTAGGTATTCAAGAATGTCATCTTGATAACAGTCACACTAATAGGAAGTTACGGCAATAAAATTCTCTTGTTGTACAGAATGATTGATGTGCTCCAGTACTTTGGCTATGGAGACTGGCAGTTGTGTAGTTTGGCTTGCCAGGTGTTATGGAACTATTGTGCCTCAGCTGCTGATGTGGAAGAAACACTTGGCCACAAAGAGACAGAAAAACTTATCTTTGTATTAGAGGAGTTTTTAGGTAAGTTATTTCTAATAAATTTGCTCACAGGGTTAATGAAAGAGTTTTCACAGATGACACTTTCAGTATTAGTATTGGTAAACTGAAAACTATCCTTGGTAGCAATATTGTGAAGCATGACATAGTGTTAAGATGCTACAGTACAAATATTTTGCAGCATGAGAGGCAGGGTGTTGTGTTGCCATGTAAATACTGTACAGTATTGTGATTCCACAAAAGTTGCATAATTTAGTGTAGCATCAAAATTATGCATAGTTTATTGGTTGTAATGTTTTTATAGCAGTATTTTCATACCTTGTCTTGCAAGTTACATTTAAGATAATTGTCATATATTTCATTTATATCTAATTATTAATTAATTAATATTTTATCAGCTTGATATTGTGAAAACCCACATTGTTAAAGGAACCCCTGATTGCCTCTACCCATATCAATAATGTTCTAAGGACAGCTTATAGATTTTTTAAAGTTCTCCGAATACTGTACTTTATTCTATATACTTACTCTCATATGTATGGCTGCCAACTTTAAATTGGCTTATATTTTATGATCTGAATGCATGAAATATTCAGAATGTTCGTAAATTTTCTAGTTGTTTTATTTAATGGCCACCTTGGAGAAAGTGGCCATTTTGTAAGTGTTCCCTATGTTGGGTGCCCATCATATTAAATTCTACATATAAGAAATCCATCTCCTACAATTTTTATGTTTACCATAAAATAAAAAAATTCTGGCATATTTGGTCAGTTAACTGCTGGACTATAAGTAATTCTTAAGAGACTTCACCACTAATAAAGTAGTGCATAAATTATGAACGCATCAAGCCATGCAAGAGTTTATTTAGGATGGTATAACTGGAATATACTGTACGTACCTTGAAATTTGTACTCCAACCAGCACACATAGACAGGTAATGTTAAATGCTGTTTATCCTATATTTTTATTATGTATTTATATTGACAAAATACTAACTCACCACTGGGAACCATTCATAGGGACACAAACAATCTATAGTTTTTCTTTCACTGTTAATTAAATTTCTCTAAGTATTGATTTACTTTCTGATTTCTGTAAGTCTTATTGTATTAATTTCTTTCAGTATACTTTTACTTATATTTTCTTTCTTGGTTCTTTAGCTTTCTAAGTGTACTTAAGTTTACATTTACGTTTCTCTTACTTATCTCCTATATTCTTTCTATATTTACTTCATAGTTTCTTATATATATTCTGATCTTGGGGCTTATGTGAGAAACCCTATGTTACAGTACAATTTCAATACTCATGGTAGGCCACGCACACCCAGATTTTACATCCGAATATACAATACAGTTTAACACATTAACCTGTGAAACACTTTGGTGGTCGTGTGGTGATGTCTAGGCTCGTGGGTTCTATTGTATTTCAGTGGCACAAATTATCAGGGAGAGTAAAAGGTAGATACTGCAGTGTTAGTGATAGCACAAAATACATTATGATTATTTTTTAAAAAACGAAGTTGAGTTTAGGAACACTACCACAGAACACAAAACATCTGAACCATTTCCTGTGGTTTACTCAAGATTTGGTAAACATTATGTTTTACTTTAAGGTTAAAAAGATAAGTACAGTACCTGTATTCCAATTCAACAGTAATAATGTTCAGTATAAAATACTCCAGATCAATGGTAACATTCTACAACAGTGACACACAAAAATGATGGTTCTTTATCACTTTAATTAATTAACAATTAATATCACTTTACAGCACTCATAAACACTCAAAAGCCCATCACAAGATTGTAGTTCCTGCACTTTACTTCTTTCTTATTGCACTCAATACTGTAGATACAGATTATACTGACTGCATGCAAGTACAGTATCACGATTCACGAATCCAGGGGTCATAATGATTCAACCTTACCTCTCATCCTTTATTAATATTATACCTTACAACACCCTGTACAACACAGGACACATCGGTAGTCATTTACTATGTGGGAATAACATACTTCAGATGGATACTTACAAAATGAGTACACAGGGCTCACACCAACTTGAATTCAAACACTGTTGTGGGTACACACTCGGTGAAACTGCCTCCGGGTTCACGCTTAGTGAAGATGCGGCCATCCTTCAGGTTTGATAGTGAATGCACAGGTCCAGATACTGCTCGCCACCTGCTTCAGACACCCAGCCTGTAGATGGCTACTGACCATTTGTAGCTTCAACATCCATTCACAGTGCCTGATTATGCTGAAAATGCAGTCAGATTAATAACAACTAATACCGGGTATACAAATGTTACAAAATACATCTTTCAAAGAAATGATTGGCATATGGTCACTTGAAACCCAAGACGTTTAATTACTTTAAAACAGGAAGACTTGTACTGTATTCAAACAAAGTTCAATTACGCTAAATTCACTTAATTTGATGATGTGAGACTCTTGAGTTACACATACCTGAGCATAAAGGGAAACACAGTCAGAATAATGGTGCTTCTGGCTGTGCTCTCGGTTATATACGTCAAGGGTTACTCAGTCAGCATTTACTAGACATGTTTATCGTCTCAGTTACGGTACACATCATTCTATGAAAATTACGGTCATGGTTCTAAATTAATTTCTTTCGGCTATCATTTATAATCTAGTCTATGTTTGAGCTTGCAAAGCAATAATTATATTGTTCACAGGTATGAGGAATGACAAACTCACTTTGTGGTTAGTCAGCTCTTTGGACAAGGGAGACACTCACTGGGATCGAATTACATTTCAGAGACTGGGACAGTTGACACACATTCTCAAATGATTAATGAGTTTCTTTAATACAAAGACGACAATGACTTCAATAACAGTCATCAGATTCTCTGATGGCTGCAAATCAAAGACACCTAACGGTAACTTTAGTTTTGAATGGATATCTCGTAACTTCAAGGGCGACAAAAACATTGGTCATAGGCTTTCCTCGGCAGTCTAACACATCGTCTGAGTTCAATTTTCACTACTCATAAATACAATATAGTTGAAGCTTTCAACATGTACTTACTGAATCTTGAATCCTTTAGCTAACAGTAGGCATATCACTTACTGTTACTCATACATGTTACATTCTGAATATAAATTTACACTACAGGAGGGCACTTTAGGCAAGAGAGAAAACAAGTCTCTGGGAGGTAACTCGCAGAGCTTCGCACATGTTTTATGGACGGCAGTGTATAATATGAATGAGTGTGGGTATTAAGATACTAGATATGTAACTGTGACCGTTACACTCCAACCAATCCACATTATGCTAACACACACTGTACTCCAACCAACACCTGTGGTACTTCAACACACCCATTACTGTAGAATTGATAAATCTTGATTCAACAGATGATGATTCATATTTCAACAACCCTGAAGTATTTGGTGAGTGTGATCCAGAAACAAAGGACATCGTCTATCAGCTGTGGGAGGACTTTGCTCATGTTGCCACAAAGCTCTTGGACCGTATTGAAGAGAATACTTCTGCACTTCCAGTTGTTGCAACTTCATAAAAACTAAATAGTTATTATTGTACATATTAAATATGGATATTTATTAACTGTATAATAATATGACAAAGTATAATGCTTCAATGTTAATTTGTATATACATTGCTCATGCTCTTATTATTACGCTGCTCATGCTCTTATTAAAGAGAAAAATTTGACAAATAAAATTTTGTACATTATAGTTATTAATGTCGCACTATCGAAGGTAATGTACAGTAAATGAAGGATTGATCCTGTAATCCTATTTTTGACAGTGGTTAAAACGAGGCAGCTCGAGCATATGCACATTAAGGCATTTGATCAAGGCTCAGGAGACCTTGACATTAGTGGTTGGAACTAATAGATTCATTAGTATAGATTTGTCATAACCTTTGTCCTTTAAATTTGTGTTGTTCAATTAATATTAGACTGACAGAAATCTATACTGTAGTACAGTACGTACTTTATTTACCCCAAACATCATCACTTTCATTTTGATCACCCCTGCACTCACCTCAACCTAATAAGCTAGAGACACGTTGGGGCATTAGTACCAACTGGACAAGATTATCATTGATGCCTATAAGTGTCACGGTGCATGAGTGTGTTAACTGCTACAAGGAGCTGTATTAACAGAAGAAAAAACTGTCCAGCCTAGACTATATGTGGCTTGCCACCTAAAAACTAACTTGGTCCACTTGGAGATGCATACAAGTAAGTGTGACATCATGCCTTGGTATCTTTCAATTGCAACTGTTGCTTCTAATATTCATTTTTAAAGTAGATGTAGCCCCAGCCCCAAAAATTATTCGAATGAATTAATCCTAGCCACTAATGCCAAGGTCTCCTGGGGTTAGACCTAATGACTGTGTTCACATAAATACAAGCTACCCGGTACCTAGTTAAGGATGGTAGACCATAAAATAAAATAATAAAATGTTTCTTTGCTTCATACACATTTGTGTAATACAGTACATGTACTACTGCAGCTGGGATACCCGGCATTACCCGGGACTGTGTTTAATAAAGTAAATTTAACCAGAATGGATGCAGCCACACCCTCAGCTCAAATTAAATGCCCATGTAAAAAAATTAATAAAATAACCATACCTGTACTGAATTTCATCTATAGGTTAAAAATCTGTGGTCATGCACAGGAGCCCCCCCCCCCCCTTAAACATTCAGGAGTATTCTGAAAACTATTTACATAAACATACCAAATTTCAGCTCTCAAAAACTGTGGCTGTACATAGCAAAGAAACAGAAAAATATAGATATATTTTAAAAGGTTTTCCACCTTTGAGGGTGGGGATCAATAACTAGGGCCAACCTTAAAAAAATGTCCATCTTTGTGACACTATAGTGTGCATGTACATCTTCATGCCAAATTTCAGCTCTCTCTTCAAATCTTAAACCATGCATAGTGAAAAAAAAAAGTCTCTTTTTTATGAGTACGTACTATATAGACAAGAGTTAATTGTCTAACACCTTTAGGCCAAACAACTTCTATTTTTCTTAATGATATATCACTTACATTAAGTGTAATTATCATTTTCTGTAATGTAAACAAGATGTCTGCATGAAACAAATGTATATCACCAGTGCTGATGTTTTTTGGAGGCCTTGTTTAAAAACAGTGTAAATAGGCAAGTTAGTGTTGGTGTTTTATATACAGTATGTATACACTGTATCATTTAACATGTTTTAATATGCATAGACTTCACTACTGTGAATGATGAATAGGGGATCAAATTTAATTAATCCAGATGACTCCTGTTGGTACCCACACTGATGTACAGTACAGTACTGATATTCAGTAACATCTCAATATAGTCCAGCATACATATCAACCCTGAAAGATGAAATTTAGCATATAAACTCTAAGTCCATCTATCAGTTAATGTTAAATAGTGGAAGTTAATAAAAAAACTAAATTCAACATGCAGTAGAGGACCAAAATATGAGTAACATGGGAAGGTACAATTGTTGAAAATTGAATATTGCATCTTTACAGTCTGGACTGATAAATCTTGTTACAGGTGGCTGACAAATTAGTTAATGGTAGACAATACACAACTTGAATAAGTGAAAGAATGTAGTAAGGTAATGTGTATACAACAGACAAGGCTTGTCAGGAACCACAGGCAATAATGCAAATTCAACATGAAAAAAAGCTGTTAAAAGTCAGTCAAATAAGTTTGTACTGTACTGGTGGTTGAAATTTACTTCCACAGCAAATCCAGTTAGTCCCTTGCATCATGTATATTTGGGTTGTGGAATTTCATCTATTTGGAATCAGTGAATCACAACCACTAAATTCAAGGTACTGTATGTCACAAAATTCAACCTGACAGAAAAGGGGTCTTTATGAGGAAAATTTTTCCATACGAATGTTGCTCCAATTATTTACTGTAGAGTAGTGGGGGTCAGTGGGAAAATTGGGTTCGAGTTACAGAATTTCAGTGTGGATAACTTTTCAAGAATGTATTTCATTCATAACATGAGGGATTAATGTTGTTGAATGTGAACCTTTACCCAATCTGAATTACAACTTGTGTATCTTGTGGCTGACCTAGCAATGGGATATCTAAGTTATCTAGTTTGTGAGATGTGCACTGAATATCAGAGAAATCTTTTCAACTTTTGATGGTGTGATGTATCAAACACACTTACTGTAACTAGGGGTAATATAGCTACAGCTCTGTTTACCTGTGTTATAAAGCAAGGTTTGCTACACCAGTATCTTTAATGAGATTGTAGTGAATCTAGATGCTACTCCATGTGTAAATGTAGATGAAATTGTATACTGTATAGACCTTATACTGGTAACAATTAAATTAGTGGACCAATATGAACAGATGACATTTAACCCTTTGCACTATTTGTTAATGAATTGTAAAAACCCAATTATGTTAATATTTGTGTGTTTCTGGCAAGAAAATACATGTACAGGTATCCCTCGTTTAATGATCATTCACTTAGCGATTAAAAATTTGAAACCCTTTCATATTTAACGATTATAAATTTTTGGTCTAGCGATCTTTGACTCACTGAGAAAAATTCGGGAGGGGAGTCAGAAAAACTGGGGATTCTGTGCTATACTGTATGTGCGTATCATTACAATACTGTAATGTGGCTTAGAAATAAAGAAAATACTGTATACTATAAAATTATAAAATAAGAAAATTAAGAGCATGGGTGTACCATATATGTGGGAAGTGAATGCATGTATCCAGGCAGTGAGCTGTAACTGTGGCCAGCTGCACTCTCCCTCCCCCTGTGTTGCGTGTATACAGTACTGTACATACAAGTATATGTGAGGAATAAGTAAAAATTATAATAAATAAAAAAAAATACTGCATTGCCATTTGGCAATCATTTCACAGGACACAAGAGAGAGGACTGCAGAGAGATCCCCCACGTCACTACCCCTCCCCCGCTCTGTGGGCTAACTACTGAGCACATAAGAAATGTTTATTACCTTTATGTTTTTTACCTTGTGATAATTTTCTGTTTCGTTATCCCTCTTTTTGGATAATATTTCTCATTATTCTTCGTTCAGTGAACATTTTGCTTAACGATCTGTTTTTCAGGAACACAACCCAATTGTTAAATGAGAGATATCTGTAGTACGTATATCATTACACTGTATTTAGATGCATCATGGTTGTATTGCTCCCAAAAGAGTTTTCTTATCAGGTGTCACTAGTTGGACTTGACCTTTTAATTGTATTTTAGTTACTGGATATTGTTAAGCTAACTTAAGCTAAAAAGCTAAACATCCTTTTATGCAGTTAACAGTAATTTGTGAGGTGGCAACCTCCAGGTGGGAAGGGTTAGCATAGCCTAGGGCATTAATAGGGCCAGCTCAGTGTACACCATACATGAGCAACTCCATGCTAACCATTCCTAGTAATGGGGTTGAATCTATGGTTCATAGATTAGAGTCCTAAGTACAATCAACATACTGTATATTGTAACTAGAGCTTGAGATTTCATCCACAAAAGTTACATTACACCATCTTGGAACTACATAGATGGTTATTTTCCAAGTTATGACACTAATTCCTAAAGAGAATGTCCTCTCCAAAAGTCTTGTCTGTCACCACAACCACAGGTAGTGTATATACTGTAAGTAATGTATTATACCCTGGGTCCAACTGTGTGTACATTCATTGATCTATGTGTGTGTCATTTTGTGTTAGTTTTATTTGTTATTTTATAAACAAATGTAGAGGGAGCACCATTTTAGAAGAAGCTATGATTATCATCTACGATGTGGATGCTACTCCAGGCTTGTGTTGTATGGTGACTGGATGAAACTTATACAGTAGTATATTGTAACCAACAGTACATAAATGTTTCAGCAAGGTTTGGAGGTTAAGTTAGACTTAACTACAGTCTGTTCTTCATGGAAAGATAAAATAAACACTGCTCTTATTTCTGCGTGACTTTGACAGTCTATTGTGATAGTGGTCATATGTAGCAGAAATCAAGCCATTTTACAGCTTCTAATGGTTTTCAAGTTACTTTGTACTGGTTTACCATGAATCTCTTTGTGTATGGGGTCCTCTCTCTACTGAATAAATTCGTTTTGGTATTAGCCCCCAAAAAAATATTGTAAGTGGCATCACTGTAGTGAAAGGGTTACCCGGTAATAACAAAAAGTATCAGTAAGATGTCAGATCATGTGCCTGTTAAGAAATCACAGTACAAAATTATACAGTTGTTCCTATAAAGGCTACACATACTCTGTCAGTCAAACAAGGATTAAATGAAATTATCAAAATATTTGCCTGTCAATCATTGGTGCCTGAGTTTATGCACAAGTCAAACTTTTAAAACATTGAGATGCTTTTTATGTATCCTTGAAATAAACCTGGTTTAGCTATTGGTCAGGATGGAATAAGGTAACATTGCCTGTATGGAATCAGTGCTTTCCAAAATTCGCACAGTAAAGTCTGTCACAAAAATCCACTTTATGAAGTACTGTAATATATTTTATAAACGTTTTGAGCATTCTAAATTTGAAATTTAAGTTTATAGATTATTTTGTTTTAATATTCCTCATATTACATGCGAGTAAATAAAGAGAAATTAGACAGTTGATGATTGTGTGCATGGTGATGTGAGTAATGAATCTACTTGTCTTCACATGAGTTTGAGTTGTAAGTTATATGGTGATTGTATGAGAGTGATGATAGATTGAAAGCTTATTTGTAGACTTATAACACTGAGTATGATAAAGAAGTTACTGTACAGGTATTTACTGAAACTAATAACAAATCTGAACTAACTGGAGAGTTTCAGAGTACGTAAACGACCCCATTACACTCTCACACAAGCCAACCCTCCCAGTGTCTCTTCCTAGCCCGGTCCGACTAATTACCCAAATGTAGCTGCAATGAAGTCAAATAATGGTCCTACATGAATAAATCGGACTGCCAATCACTTTTCGACTAGTATTTGGTGTCACAAAATCACAAAAAATTGGAAAACTTGCTTTAATCTGAGTTAATAGATCGCGTGCATGTACCGAGGGAGCGAGTAATTACCCAAATGTAGTCGCAATGAAGTCAAATGATGGTCCGACAAGCGCAAATCGGGCTGTGACTCACTTCTTGATTATTATTTGGTGTCATAGTCACAGAAAATTGGTAAACTTAATTTAATCTGAGGTGTTAGGTTAGGCTAGGTAAGGTTAGGTACATGCACTCGATCTATTAAATCAGATTAAATTAAGTTTACCAATTTTTTGTGACTTCATGACACCAAATACTAGTCGAGGTTAGTTTAGGTTAGGTGAGGTACATGCACTCGATCTATTAACTCAGATTAAATTAAGTTTACCAATTTTTTGTGACTTCGTGCCACCAAATACCAGTCGAGAAGTGATTGGCAGTCCGATTTATTCTTGTAGGACCATCATTTGACTTCACTGCGGCTACATTTGGGTAATTACTCGCTCCCTCGGTACATGCACACGATCTATTAACTCCGATTAAAGTAAGTTTTCCAATTTTTTGTGACTTTGTGACACCAAATACTAGTCGAGAAGTGATTGGCAGTCCGATTTATTCATGTAGGACCATTATTTGACTTCATTGCGGCTACATTTGGGTAATTAGTCGGACCCTCCTAGCCCAGCATGTTTATCACTTGTTTGGACTCATTGAGAACACAAAAATACACATACAATACTCTAATGTTGCTTAGAAATAAAGAAAATATAATATAAAATAAGAAAAATGAAGAGCATGTGTGTGGAGTGGGCTAACTGCATTGCCTTAGACATGTCCTGTCAATCTGCCTCATTGACTACTGACTGCCATACGGATTCAAATCATGAGCACCAAGGGTGGCTCAGGTCAATCAATCGTAAGCCTCTACAAGAGAATGTAGGTCGGGCTTATTTTACTTTTCCATAATAAACAAGCTCTGACTTGGCCCAAACAAACAATCAATGTGACATGTTTAGGTTAATTGTGAAGACTGGTACAGAACCATATCCACTTTGTATTACAAAATATTGTGTGTATACTACAGAGTACCAACATTATAATTATGCTGTGCTACAGAATATAATGTACACTGGCACTTTATACTTGTAATAAAATATATAAAAAATTATCTGTTGTGTACATTTTCCTTTTGCCAGTTATTTTTTCAGGCCCCACTCACATTAATAATTATTGACGAGATACCTGCCGCCAAATTTTCATGGTAAATAATTCTTAAAATGCTGCAATTTCACTGTGTTTTGTAGTGGACACTGTAGGTTGAGGAAATGTGTTAATAAGTGGTTATTTCTAAATTAAACCTAATCTAACCTTAGTTGAAATGAATAACAAGTGGCAAAAGTGTTGTAAGAAGACCAGATCAACCTAATCATAGAAACTTCATCTAAAATTACCTAACTTCCTAGCCGTGGGGCCCCAAACCCCAGCATACTAAATAGAAAGAACCTATTACAATATGGAGTAATTTTGTTTTTGTGGACTTGAGAGCAGCTGCCCAGTCCGAGCGGCTTAAGTGTTGGTGTCAATGAGTCAGTCCGTGGGGGAGAGTGCAGCTGAATGCTTAAATTGCCACTATTCGAAATCAAAGTTGAAACTATGTCTACCCGATGGTTTTTGATGTGTTAAGAATGAATTTTACCTTCAATTCTGGAGCAAATTGTCAAAATTACCAATTACAACAACAAAATTCCCGAGATTCGTTTAGTGGCAACAATGAAATAATATTGAGAAAGTAGTGAGTGCATAGGCGCCTAGTTACCTAGCAGACGAAGTATTTGCCCAAAAAATGAATATAATATAACAACACACCAATCAAAATATAGTATAAAGCGAAACATCAAAACAATTTGACTTTTACTGGGATCAAATGAGTTCACCATAAAATTGGATTCTCATGTCATGGCTCTCGCGGATTTCTGTCTGACAATCAATCAAATTCAGGATTTGCAATGCATCTAATTTTTAATTTCTAATTGTGATTTATCACTTTGACGGAGAAATGAAGTTGGTGATTCATTAAGGATAAAATGCAGCATTTTTTCTCCTAAACCTATTAACAGCTTGTTTTATCGTATTGATATTCTGAATTTGGATTCAGCCACAATTAAGAAACTTTGATCTTCATTTCGAGTCTCATTGCCTGTAGTGTTCTTAAATATTTAATTACATAATCATCATTGTTAACAAGTAACTCGTATTTAAAAATCTTTTCCTAGGAGAATTACTCATCGAAGACTCAAAGTGGTTCAGACTCCGACGGCCCGAGTCTGAAGTTCTGACTCAGAGTTGTGCAGCTGAGACAACAACACAGGAGCTTGTAAACCACTTCCATGTATATTCATTAATACGTGCAGGTGAAGATGGGGCTTAGTAACTTGCTGGTATTGTCGCAGGTGACCACATACATCTTGACTCTCTTATTGTCCCTCTGCATCATCATCCCCATCTTCTTCCATCTTCATGACTTCAAGTGAGTGATGTCACAACTGTCGATATGGTCTGGTGATCTTTAACTCCCACTATAATTCATTAAACTAAAACGCGTATTGTAATTCAGTAAACATACAATTATGTTATTCGTATGATTATAATCTGTTTTGTAATTAAATAGGCTTTAGTTTACCGGTATTTATTTTGCAAACTGATAAGCTGGTGTTAATCGCTCAACTGCCAAACAGATGTGGAGGGAATGTAGTTTTTTTTTTTATGCCAAGATTAAAAAATAATTTTCGTATATTTCAGAGCACTTCTGTTTGGCAATGGGGAATGGTCATTTGTATTACATTAGGCCAGATGTTGCTATGAGGAGAGATCCTGGTAAATATTTAGTAGTTGCTACCACCTAATTGACTTTTGAAAATGGGTTTTTATAGTGTAAATTATAGTGTTAAATGCAATTATGACCGTCATTGCCGTCGGAAATGAGCAGTAGTTGAGATATTGAAGAAAAAAAGTGGAAGGTCAAATAATGTAAAAAACTAAAAAAAAATTACCTAACCCTTAGTGTGTAAGAAACTTAACTTAAGTAAGAGATACAGGGGGATAGAGTGATGTAACTTGAATGAGGCAATCTACATAATACTGACAATCTGATTAAATCTTGGACACTCTATAGATGAAACAAGAACATCGTGAGCCTTAAAAATGACAACGGCTGCTCCTTCGTTGTCCGAAATGCTCTGAATAATGTACTAGCCAGCCAATGTACATCTCTAACAGATGCCATCTTCCAACTAGCAGCGAGTGGAGACTTGTGCTGATTAGTAAACAAGTGTTACTTCACATCGGCACTTGCACTGAATGGCGTACACAACTATGAGGTCACACTAACACACGTTGATTGGCCAAATAATATCAAATAAAAGTTAAAATAACTCAAAAACTATAAATTTCCGACAGAAACGTTCTAGAATATTTTTTATTTTCTCTATCTCCCCATATATGACTCGATATTCAGTTAGGTGGTGGCAACTACTAAATATTAATGGGGATCCTAACACTTAGCAACTTTCCCAGTGAACTTTACAGACAAATTGTTAATACTTGAACCAAAATAACACCTTAACCAACCTCCCTAATCTTATCTAAAATAGGATGTTAGGTTAGGTTAGATTTGGTTGATTTATTTGTCTTATTTATGATAAATCATCGATGGTAGTTGTGGTCAAGATGGAGGAAATGGTTACACCTGAAATAACTTTTGAAATTGCATCAAAATTTCTAGAGATTTTATTTGCATGGCACAAAATAAGAAAATGGATATAATAATGCACAGAACCTAACTTAAGCAACCCTACTTAACTTCCTAACCAGGGGGCTCTACCCCTAGACCCTTTGCCAGGGGTGTAATTGGAATGTTTTATTGACTAAGTGCTATAAATATAAAGTTTAGTTTACAATAAATGTTCAAAATGACTCCTTTCAGCTTGGATATGAACAAAAAATGAACAGAAGAGATGATCTGCTTCCTTGAATCATGGATTCTGTAAAATGCATACAGAATGTCTCGAACATTCAGTGGTATCATGAGCCAGAATGTGTATCCAAAGTTGAGGGCAGCCATTTTTATTTTAGTTTTTTTTTATTGTAGACTAGACATTGTATTACAGTATTTAGTCTGTAAAACATTTTAACTACAGGTATGTGCAAATAACATGAATTTCAAGTATGCGAAAGTTAGTTTTACTTTTGTACTTTCACAGATTGCAAAAGTTTATCACAAAGGATCCTTTGCAAAAAACAAAGACAACTCATATGTATTTACCTATTTATCTTTTAATTCTTCCGTATTTGCTGTCTAGATTTTAGAAATTAGTATAAAATAACCCATGGATGATGATAGATGACATACAGTATGTACAAGATGCTTCCAATAAAACTTTCTAACAACTAAAATATAGGCCCCAGAAAAAACCTTGCACATCTGTAATTCCTCACACCACTTATAGCTGAAATAAATTTTACTGTAATAAGGTAAATTCCAGTATTTATTTGATTTGAGTTACAAGAGTAGTGTCCTTTGTGTTGACAATTCAAGTGCTAATTCAACCAGACCTCATGGTGTAACTTCAGCTTTTTTGCTAACCAGAACCCTTCAGGGATTCATTGTTTTATCAGAAGGGATTGAATTGTTTAATCAATAAGGTTTTAATTGTTTTGCATAATAACAACAACTGAAATAAAATTTGGTAAATTTGTAGTTTCACCCCAAACTATTATTCGACCAAAAATTTTTGTTTGTCCCATGGCATTTGATCTGATTCATACGAACTTAACCTTCATTTTGATATCCAGTACCAATGAAGTCAACTTTGTTGAAACATCATGGTGTAATTTTACTTTTTTTTTGTGGATGTGAGAGTACACTTGGACTAAGCGGGCCGGTTGTAAACAGACAGACAACAAGCGGGGACTGCAGATTTACGGGAATTTCCTATGTGAATTTACCATTTGTGACAGAAGTGGTATTTGAAAAAGTTGTTGCAATTGATGAGATATAACTTCTGGTGAACCCAAAATTGCTCTAACCCAGTTGGTAGTGAAACTGCAATACAGGGGTAATATCTAAAAGTTTATGTATCTGATCAAAATATGTAAAAAGAGAGAAGAATGTGTTTTCATTATAAACAGCAGGTCCACAGTGAGAGGCTCTTATGAACTAGGCTTTGTTACAGTTCTTCACTCTTGGGTAAATACATATTTATGGACCATGTGCAAGCAAGCTAGCTCTCTCTTTTGTGATTAGTTATCTCATTTTTAGAAGGTCAATAAATGTTTTAGTTAGTTTGAGTCAACAATGTGGGAACTCAAGTTATAGACTTCTCTGGTTGTACTTGAGTTGCCAAATCCAGGCTCAGTTATGAAATGGAATTATGAGCAATCTCTCATTTACAATACTGTACTGTATTTGCATTTACATTACAGGGGCCACTGCTTGCTGTTCAGTAATGGAACATGGCGTGAGACAGATGGTCAGTTCTTGGTGTCGTGGGCATCACAGGGCTTTTGTGATTATAATCTTACCTGGGCATCTGTCTCCCTCTTAATTGCCCTCATCCAGACCTACAGGTTTATAGCACAGATTTGTCGTGGAACAGAGAGGTGAGAGGTGTTTCATAGTTGTCTTTTTCTCGTTAAAATAGATTTTTTTTTGTATCTCTAAACATTATAACCCAGTTAATATACAGGTATTTAATAGAGATGAGCCGAAGTATCGGTATCGGCTAATTTTGGAGTTAGAGATATCGGTGAAAAATGGGCCGATATCAGCCGCTACTTTTACCAAACATCTAAAAGTGTAGTAATTTAGAATTGCAATAATAAGAAAATTGACAAATTAACAATTATACAGTAGTACTGAATCTATTGTAGTAACCACAGGCTGATATGGAGATATGAATAAAATAAACACTTTTATTATGAGTAATACAGTACTGTATTCACATAATACTGTAATTGTAATAATTTCCTCTTTTCAGTGTACTAGAACTAGAATATTGATATAAGATTTTGAGAAACAACTTAGTGCCTTTAAGTTTAAGATAATTTATTTTTTAAGCACAGTACTGTACAAGTTTACTGAATACTGATAACAAGCAAAACTGATAATAAATTTGTAAGACTAAAGAGTCAAGTCTCAAGATTAGACAATACTGTATTCACAATATTAAAGTTCTAACTTCTAGATCAACATACAAGACTATATACTGTATAAATTAATCAGGAGTTGGCAACTGTACAACCAACAAGTGTGGACTGAAAACAGAGTTGTCAAATTAGTGCTGTTAGCAACAGAACAAGTTTTAATAACTAGCCAAGTATATATGTAATGAACTCGAGACTAAATTAATATACAGTACGTATAAGTTAAATTAACAAAGGAAAATTAATATTGGCACTAAGCAATGATTCACGCCTACTGGTTATTAAATAGATCTGTCAAGTACGGGTGAGTTCTCTGAATCTTGGGAATTAGATAGATATCTTATTAGGGAGTATCGTTATCGGCTTTGGGATGAGTATCGGTATCGTCCAGAATTTTGGTATCGGCACATGTCTAGCATTTAACATTCATTATCGTCATATGGAATAGCTTTAAAAGTTAATACAAATTTGTATGCTATTGTTCAAAAATTAAGTTAAAATTTTCATTAAATTTTTAATTCAAATTAAACAATATTCTTTCTCATAATTGTTTTTAAAAGAATATATTGATGTTAATAACTGCTTTATAGGTAAAATACTACAAATTAGCAGTTGTTATAGTGCTGTGCTGTTCTTATTTTAGCTTTTACAGCATTACAGGGATAAATTGAATGTATCATAAGTTATAGTTAAGTACCTATTGTGTTCTATGTATTCTGTACAGAGAACTGTGATAAGCTTTTGAGATGTAGTCGCAAGATACCTACAGGTGCAGAAAAAGCTTTTCATTGCATTATTAATGAAACAGTACTCGGTACTGTACATTAATCCTTTTCCAATCACGGGTTATATTTCAGAATTCTCGCATGGTTGGTAAAACCATTGTTGGCAAGGACTGAATCTAATGAGAATTAAGGGTACAGTACTGTGCAGGGGTGTGGTGGTTGAGAAGATACAGTGCTCTCCTCTTGTTCCACGGGTCGGTGGTTCGATCCCTGGGCACTCCCAGTTCACCCAGCTGTAAATTGGTACCTAAGTTTACAACTTGGGAAAGTTAATGTGGTCAAAGTGCAGTACAGTACTGATCATGCTGTCTCCATGTGTACCAAAAGCTTAGAACAGTATACAGTATCCACACTGTCCCGACTGGGCAGCTATGCCTACGGGGCTCAGTTTTACTTTTCACTGTACAGGTATTAGAAGAACTCCCATTAGCATTGCTGCTATGCACCACTTACAGTTTTCCACAGGTACAGTGTCCCATTCCTCAGTGGCCTATCTGAACATGTGGCCAACAATATATTTTTGGGGTAATATTTGTACTCGAGATTTGTTCTAAGGTTCGACTATGATTCCGACGTTGCCACATGTTTGTAAAGGCCACCGAGGAGTGTAACACTATACAGGTATCTGTGGTCAACTGTACCCACCTGACCCCTCCACTGACCATTACATGCTTTAGAGATGTAAGGGAAGGATCATAGGGCATAGTCATTTTTGTGTTCTTTGGTGTGCTTCTCACTACACTAGCCCTCATGGTACCTCCAAAATTTTTTCATAGTTCTCACCATTGATTCATTTAAATGAGAAATGTCTGCCAATGGAAGATACACTTTTGGATTATGTAAATCAATCAAGCAATTCCACTGTGTTCCAAACTTCCAATTGCATTACTGTACCTATCTTGCCTTCTCTGGAGTAGCACCCTTCACCTCACTAGATTTACACTTTGTGGCTACTGGTATATTTCAGGGCAAAAAAGAAAAAGAAATTATTATAAGTTTGTTGAGAGCAGCGCTGTGAGAAAGAGTAACGGAGGCTGAACGAGTGCTATAAGGTCAGGGGGATGCCATGAGCTCACTTGTACATAGCACTGCATTTCAGTTACAACCACCAGGGCTGGTGACAGAATCATTTCATCTTAGATTCCCGCTGTACTGATCTAGAAATCTCCTGTGGTGGCTGTGGAAACCTGCAGATACTAAAAATGGGATACTGTTGTTGATAAAATGCTGTATAATACTGTACAGTATATAGAATATGAATACTTGAAATTGCGGATGGTAAATCTGTGGTTGGCCAAGGATTACCATTAAAGTAGTTGTAGTAGCAGGAAAGAGGTTTATTTTATGTGCAGGGAGTAGTAACTTGAATAAAAAATTTTAAAGTAGGATTATTATACCGTACAATTTTCAAAAACTTAAAGTACATTACTTTCTTTGAAATTATCTAGGATGAAGACTATTGGTCATCAATGTATGCACACGAAAAGATTAGAGGCTTGATTTTTAGCAACCTTTAATTTTCCACTACAATACTATGGCAGGTTTCTCAAGGATCTTTCTTATAATTTTTCTTAGCTTGAAGATTAAGATTATAGTAAGATGGTGGTCTCCTGGCTCAGCTTGTGCCAGATAAATCTTTTAAATACTGTACGCTCATGATCAATGTTTTATGGCCGCTTTCCACACTTTAAAGGACATTATGTTTTACCTTTTCATGTCACTCTATTATGCGTGTTTGTGTAATAATTCAAGTTGTTCTTTTACACCTAACTTTTCCAAACTTCATAATTATTGCAGTTTATATTCCAGATTCATATACAGTTTATAGATATAGGTATCAAAGGGTATGTTATCAAGGATGCCACAAACCCCCCAAAAAGAATAGTCCATGAAAAGTTTAACACTGTAGGGAACAGGATGATCCAGCTTGTGTATGCTTGTGTCTATTACTGTATTACAATATGAAACTTGACTTTGCCTCCCAAAGTATACACTATTTGCTAGGTTCATCCAGATTTTTTGGATGTTTGCCATATCATTTACTACTATTGAGCAGGACATGGTGTTTCATTAGCACAAGTTTCTGTTCAAGGTATAATGTAATTTTTTATATTTTGCTTGCAGTACATTCCTGAGTGCCTTCTTTGATGTGGTACTGAGCATATTCATGTCTATGGCAGCCATGGCAGGTGCACTCATCATCACCATCGGCTATCAGATCTGGTGCAATGCCATCATGTTACGTTTTGAGGCGTAAGTTCTCCTTTGTGTTCATATACTGTCTGGTTCCATATAAAAAATTTAAACAGTAGTCATGTTATATACAAGGGTGACCAAACTGCGAGTCTTTGACACTTAATGTGCAGCTCACGAAAATATATTGGCTGTACCCCTTTTTGCATCATAATCAATGCAAAAGGTACCGGTAAATAAGAAATATGTTCGAGTTTTATATTTATAAACTGAGAGGCCACTGGATTAAAACTTGTTAAATATTCAAGGTAAGTATAAATATTTAAGAATTTAAATCTTAATTTTAATGCTAGAATTAAGTCAGGTATTGTTCATTAGTGCTGAGTCAGGTCAGTAAATTTCAGGTCAGGGATTACGGAGGAAAGTCGGTGGGAGGGGCAGGGCAGGGCAGGGGGCCCAGCCTCACGTCATGACCTGATATATTAACACAGTTCGTTTGTATTTTAAGATGTGAAGATGCTACAAGCAACAACATTGACAAAGAAGACGAAATAGATACTAGAATGTTCTACACTCAGTTTGGAACAGCACAGGTAAAGTTCTGTTTTGACTTAATGGTCTCCCAACGTGATTTGTTTTTTATAATATTAAGTTTGTGGGTTTAAAACCCAGAGAAACCCTCAGACAGTAGTGGCTGGGATGAATTTATTAATTAGTTAGCACCTCTCCAGTCATCTACGTGGGCCATAATCTGGTGATCAAATTTCAGTTCCTCATTTCCAGCCATGACTCCATGTTGTTCAGGTGGCTAACCACCAGTAGTGTCTCCTACACTCCAAGAGAGGCAAGGAGTCAATTGCTTTAGCCTCTACTGCTTTTACTGTGGAGTATTAAGACGATTCAAACAGTGCATGTTTCTCATTACTTGTAAAGTTTGGCCTTTATGTACAGTCAGCAAAAAGTTCTCAAACAGCTGGGCACGACAGATTTCAGAATGAGAACTATGGCTCTTGTCATCTCATAATGGTTGGTACTGTATGTCTGATTGTGAAGTGACTCAACATTTCATAATGATATATGTTGCTCGCATTCTAGTATTTACAGGTTAAAAGAAGTAATTTAATTTGCATTAAATATCCTCAGAGAGCAATGTTCAGATTTCTCATTCGTTTTGTCATATTGTATGACGCTTAAAGCATTTGAGAACTTTTTTGCCGATTGTATATTGTGCTGTAAATGTTGTGTTAACTTTACAAATGGCCCAATTTCAGTTTTTACTGGTGTTGATACATGAAGATGTTTCAATCCAGGTTATGTCATGGAGAACCCAATTTCATGGTCAGTAACAAAGTGCTATTAAAGAACAGTTTTTCATGTTTGTGCTCAGGAGTCATTGTCTAGTAACGTCGATATATTTATTAATGAGTCGTGTCATTCAGTTAATTAATAAATAGCTGTACATGGAAGTGTTGTTTGGAAGATTTCCCCTAAGAATATAATATGGTTAAATAACTAATCGGCCACACTACCAAACTTTCCTACTTTACAATTCTACAACTATAATTTCTCTCTATATCTTCCTCCCGAGATTATCCTCATTATAAATGTAAGTCCTTATTGAATTAGTCCCAGCCACTAATATCTAAGGGTTCACGTAGGTTTTCAATGTAAATACTGTATAATGTTAGTTAAGGCCCAGACATTACATGGGATTTCAGGTATAATCCCCCATTTTATTTTTCGATGTTACTGTGTTATTATAAAATGTTTTTTTCACTAAATAGTTTTAAGATTTGCTAATGTCTCTGGTAATAGAATGAATGGAGATTTATTTTAAGTACAGTATACACAATCAAAAAAGTATCTGTGCACATCCTTGTCCGATGATTTCCTGAATACCCGGTAATCAATACACCTATGCCGCAAAGTAACCACCAACTACACACTGTTCACAAGATTAATCTGTTTTCTTCTGAATGTGCATATAGTAACACTATAAGGGATCAAATAGGAAATGTCGCTACCAAGCGATATGTGGCATTTTACAATATCCATTGTCTGTAGTGTCAGATTGTTTTGTCCAAAATGAGCACAGATACTTTTTTTTATCATATGTATGTAGCTTTAAGATTTTTTTTTTTTTTTTTATGGAAAGCAAACTCAGCTTCAAATTAATTGCTTGATTATTTCCAGAATTGTACTGTATTTCAGAGTGTGTTGTGTTCTCCTTTTTTGTTGCTGAAATGCAAATAGTTATCCTTACTTTCCATTTATATCCATTCCATACCACTGACATTCAGTAATGGTTAATTTTGAGTGTAAAATTTCATTGTGTTAAATGTATTTTGATTTTAGAATTTCTTTAAGTTATCCAGAGCGTGACCCTCTTGAACCCTTTCTAAGTATCCACTATTCTACAGCAACCAAACTTCTCTGTTGTGACATGAAAGTGATATGTAATGTAAACTGTGTTTCCTACAGTTTGGAGCATGGACCTCATGGGTTTGCTGGGTCGGTCTCTCCATGTTTTCCCTGTTGAAGTTGTGCAAGTACCACCAGCAGGAGAATATCCGGGTGTCCATGGCCCGTGTCCGTGCCCAGCTTACCAGGAATCAGTGGTCACCTGTGCAGAATGAATCTTAAGGTTATATTGTAATCAAAGATTCTTGTCCTAGATACTGTATGTATGGTGTAAAATGGATTGTGTTTAGGCATCATGTTTGAATAAGGTAATATTTTAACTGTATTTTGCATTACTTATACTGGATCAATGTGCAACTTGTCAGATATGCAAATATTTTTTAAATAGGGATTTGTGGTACAGTGCTGAATTATTTAAATTTTCTTTGCCTGACTTATTTCTGTTCAAGATATTTCTTTATATTGCACATTCAGGGGAGGGGATTTGTTTTGCTTAAAGGAGGGTTGATATGTAGGATGGTCCTGGGACAAATTATTGCATGTAGTGTTGGAGTTGGGTGACCTAAACAGTCATATTGAAGTGCACACGGAGGGTTATGAAGGTGTGCATGGTGGAATAGGTTAGAGCACAAAAATATGGAAGGAGAAACACTGCTTTAGGTTGGGGATGCAATGAATGTGGATGTATGCAACATTGTTTAAGAAGGTGAGTGAGAATAGACATAAACGAAATTCAGGTTAGGTTTGTGCCAGGTAGGGGGATTACAGAGTCAATATTTATGGTTAGGCAACTACAAGAGAAATGTCTCGGTAAAAAGAATTTTTTTTACTTTGTATTTATAGAGTAAGATAAGGCATTTGACAAGGTACCACATTGAGTAGTAAATTGGACAGTAAGAAAGCTAGGACTTCAGGAGTACCTTGTTCAAATAGTTATGGCTTAAAATCCTCTGTGAGAGTATATGGTGAAGAAAGGGAGGAATTTGAGGAAAAATATAGAGTCCATCTTGAGCCTTCTTCTGTTTATCATGGTGCTTGAGGCAATATCACAGGATTTTAGGACTGGTCTGCCCTGGGAGTTACTGTATACTGTTGTATTTGTGCTGATAGCAGATATATTGAAGAGGCAGTGAAAAATTTTAAGAAATGGAAGCATGCAATAGAGGCAAAGGGCTTAAGAGTGAATGTGGCCCCCCAAAAAAGTGTTGTTTAGAGGTGTGGGCAAGGGTTTTGTGGTGGAAAGTGTAAAATGGCCATGTGCTGTCTGTAAGAAAGGTTTTGGCAGCAACTTAGTAAAGTGCAATGAGGGTGAAAGGTGGGTACGCAAGAGGTGCAGTGGATTAGGTGGCAAACTACAGGGTGTTGCTGACTTGAAATATTCTCGTTACTACTATAGTGTGTGTTCTACAAAGATAGTTTTAATCTAACCTAACCTGACCTGACCTAATCTAATCTAACCAAACTTAATCGAAGCTAACTTAACCTAAATATCTTGTAGACTGCACACTATAGTAGCACCATATTCTCTATGTAAGGGCAACTGTGAGCCCACAGCAAGGCTGGAGAAACTCAACATTGAGGATATATCCCTGGACTATGTTGATGAGTTCTGTAACCTGGGAGACATGATCAGTGCCAGTGGGGTGCTGAAACCTACTTAGTTGGAAGAGTCAGAAGTGGTTGGAAGAAATTTAGGGAGCTACTGCCTTTATTGATGACAAGAGAACCTTCCTTCTGAGGGAAAGGAAGAATGTATATAACTGGTGTGGGAAATGTGATGTTGTATGTCAGTGAAACATGGCAGTTTAAGAGGATGACATAATTAGACTTGAGTGAGCTGAAATGACAATGGTGAGGTGAATGTTCAATGTGACACTGAAAGACAGAAATCCCTGGTCAGAGCTAAGAGGGTGGCTGTTTATTGAGAATATTGGTGAAGTTCTGTGTAGAGATAGGCTAAGATGGTTTGGGCATGTGGAGAGAATGGATGAGACATATGAGGGCCTCAGAAGCACAAGACCGCAAGTGCCATCACCCGCCACACCTCCCAGCTGAGCCAATGACGCAGCGAGTAGACCCGCTTCGGCCAATGGGCGCACGTCGGGGGCACAAAGGCCATGATGTATGACGCTCATACACAAAAGTTGTACAACAAAAATATTTGAAATAAAACAAACCCCCCACCTCGATATCTTTATTGGTTGTGAAGTACCAAACGATTAAACACCAGGCATGTATTCTGGACTGGCGTGCACATGAACCCACATGGGCTGTGATGCATGACACTCATACACCAATCTTTTACAACAAATACCCTCTATCTTCAAAATAAAACAAACCCCACCTTGATATCTTTTTTGGTTGAGGAGTAACAAACGAAAAAATTTAGGAGGTTGTTTCTCATTTCTTTTTAAAAAATGGCACTTGTGTTCTTGTGATTCTAAGGCCCTCATATTAGGTCAAGAGGTGCATAAACCTAAATATGGAAGGAAGGAGAGCCGGGGTTAGGCCAAGACCGACATGGGAGAGGTAGTAAGAAATGACAGTTAGGAACCTGACAACAGACCAAGCGGCATGGAGAGCTGCTATCAGGTAACTTGGGCTTACCCAAGCAAGCTTGGGAAATGGCTGTAAGATGATGATGTAGTCCATTTCCAATTGACAAATGTTTGGTACACATTGATCTGTTCAGCAATCATAATTGGTATTATATTGGCTTGCAAATTTTTCTTGGATTTTGATGTTAGTTCATTTATGGTTTATTTTTTTTATGCATTTACAGATATGCTTACAGGACTTCTAGGTCTGTAAGTCATTAGGGAACACCACAAACTCCATATTTACGTGAGGGATGTACAGGAGTATAAAATCTGTGAGCAAATTACGGGAGGTTGAATGGACTTTAGAGCTGCTCTGGTATGGTTTTGGGTTTAGATTATTTGACTGTTTTATCTCATTTGTGTTGTGTAAAGATATAGAGAAGGTGATGTATTATTACACTGAATATTTTCCTATGTGTTTGTTTTAAATCTTTGAGTGTAAATTCTGTGATAGAGAAAAGGAAAAATTAGCATTATCTTATGGAAATAGAATGTTGCATTGCCACAGAAATTACAGCAATTAATTTTGTGTATGATCTTTCAAGAGATAATGGGGATAATTTCTGACCATGTGAACCTAATCACCCAAACCTAACCTTATCAAAAGTGACCTAAAATCCTTAGGGTTGGCTAGTTTTCATCAGCTGTTAGAATATATATAGTTTTCTGCTTTCCACCCTAATTGTAAACATGCAAGATCACAAACTTTATATTAGTATTTATCATTATGGTACTTATGTGAATTTCATGCTCATTTTTCTCCCTTTCTCTGACATCATATTTAAATTTGTTGAATTAAAACAAACAATTTGGGAAAGGTCCTTTAAAGAATTAACAGTAAAATGGTGGTAACCTTTCTCTGCACCTTTACTGACTCTTTTCAGTTATACAGTGTTAGACATTGAATAGGTAAGCATCCTCTCCTATTATAGTGCATTTTTTATCAGCTGAGAAAGGATGCTTCACCCCTTTCTCAAGAATTACAGCTGATTGGCTGGAAATACTTAGCTAAATATTTTTCTTGTCAGAAATGGTCATCCCAATGATTATGAATAAACTCATTTAGAAATACATCATTACTTCAGAATGAAATCGGACAGGTTTGAAACCGCCAATCAGCTGTAATTCTTGAGAAGAGGCGGGGTATCTTTTCTCAGCGGAGAAAAAACCCACTATAGTAGTTATGTACAGTATAGTACAGGTATATATTTTATTTTTTTAGACTTTAAGTTACTATACTGTACAGTGGTAATGACAATTGTTAGAATATTATCTTATATTTTCTTATTTGATTTGTTCATGAATAACATTTCCTTCATTCAACAAAGGTGGCACTTGTGAAATTTTTTGGTCACAGTCCATCTTCACAGTCATATAATGATGGCCAAGCACCAGGTTCTGATATATACAACAAGGAATTACGGGTTTATGCTTTGACTGTAGCACAAGCATGTTGCTTGGAAAATGTCTGAACCATTTTTGAACATGGAGATACAATGCTGGTGTCTGAAATATATTTTAAGAAACTCGATTTTTTTATTCAGCTGTGACATGAGTACTGTAATGCATCTACATTAGCAGAAATGAAACTACAGTACAGTATCAACAAAATGTTAGACTTATATTTTATGAGAACTCTTTAGGGTGATCATAGTACAGTATTAACACCAGTACTTGTACTATAGAGGGTATGTGGCTTTTTGAAAGCAACTTATTTCATAATTTTCACATATAGTTGAGGGTTGGTACTCCAAAACTACCATTTATTTTTTTATATATAAAATAAATTGCTTTTAAAACTTATTAGGGGCTTATATTGCCACTCCCCTTTTGTTCATCATATCAAAAAGTATACCTGTGTGTGACCAAAACTTGGAAGGTATTACAGTAGTTTGTTTATTTTATTAATACCATTGAAGAGTGATGAGTTGTTTTCCTTTTTCTAAATTGTCCCAGTCCCTGGTTGTTTCACAGATATATGAAACCATTCAGCCCTCCCAGGGACCATCACTTGAAAATTTTAATTATATATAAGGTTGCTATACTCTTAAAACAGATGCCAGGCAACACTTTCTTAACAGGAATTGTCACTCACACTCGATGAGATGACCTCTTATGAGGTGGGATGGGGTGGTGAAAAGCTTGCTTTTGTCACTACTGGAGATGTTGAAAAGGCTGTGTAAAGGTTTGTTTTATATACAGTGTCTTCATTACTTTACTACTTCTGGATATTTTCATGTATTTCCCCAGTATTTGTATGTATATTAGTATATCCCATTTGTCTTAATAAAGGCATTTGTATTTACAGTAGTACCCCGATTTACACGGTCAATTGAACCCACAGGGTACCGTGTAAAGTGAAAACCGCGTAAAGTGAACAACAAAACATATGGGATTAATTCCAATAGAGACTGGCCCGACCCCCAAACTCCACTTTTTGACGACACACAACTATGTTGTAGTAAAAATATTATCTTAACTTTATGATGGTATGCACACACAAATAATAATTAAGAGAAATATCAATAATATTAGTTTTTTAACACTTACATTAGTAGAAAAGATGGCTGGGCACACAGGGATGGGGGATTGGTTCCGAGGCAGAGGGCAGATTATTGGCCCTCACCTGTATCACTTGTATCAATTGTATCACTATCCACCACATAGGCTTGCAGGGCCTCTTTGTCAAACCCCTCAAAGTCCATATAAGTCCATATCATCACTATCACTCACTGACTTAGGCCGGCTGTGGTGGGTGGCGGGTGAAGAACTCGGTAATGTTTTGATGACTGGGCGACCTTGTGCGCATCCTGCCCGCGCCGCTTCCCGCGTATATGAGTAGATGCACCGTGGAAAGTGAAAGTTCGGTTCTGGCGAGGCACTGCGTAAATGAGAAATAGCGGAAAGTGAAACTGCGTAAAGCGGGGTAATACTGTATTATGTATGTGTACTGTATACAGTATTGATGTATATTTTCTGTATACAGTACAGTAGTTGCTTTATTTAAATTTACACTAATAAGGAACAGTAGGAGTGGAATTACTAGTACTATAATATATACAGAAATTTTGTATTACCATACAGTATATATACGGTGTATATTTTTTAATTCTCAATTCCACTTTCAGGAAAATAAAAGAGAATGAATTCCATGGGTTACTTTGCCTGGAACTTTGGATATGGCTTGAGTGCAATAGACAGAATATGAAAATTAATGGTGACAATACTCCCTGTGTAATACATGTATTGCACTGTACAATACATGAAAACTAAAATATAATAAAACTGTAGATATCACTTCAATGAACATAAATTGTGGCTAAGTAGATGAGGTGCATTTTAAAGCCTTATCAGTGTACGTACAGTATTTTTTCCTGCAAAAGTAAAAATACTGTACCTTGAACTATGTTTGCTACATCTGCTGAAGGAGCATTTGTTGTGCAGAACTCCTGTAACCTCTTCATGAATTACATAGAAGCAGAGAGAAATGACTCCATTGTACTGAACAGTTACTGTACTCATATAGCTATCTGTTCTTGCAGGGGGTTGATGAACTGCGACTCCTGTTGTCTCGGTAGCGTTGTCAAAATCCTTCATCCGCTGTGTCTCAACATAAATTTGTACAGATAATTCCACTGTGGTTATATTATGTTGTGCTTACCGTATTGAGTAAAAAAAATATATATACTAATAATAATCTCACATTGTTCAGAAATCATACCTAATACTTTTTATATGTTAATAATAAACATCATGATGACAACTGATAATCTCTTTAAATCTGAATATAATATATTACATTATCCTTTACTATATGACAAGTATCTTTCTGTACATTTCATTAGCAATATTTTTTCTTTTTAAGTTTTAGGCAAGTGGATAAAATTTCAGAAGCATCTTAAGTTAGTGTGTTACATAATTTCATTGTTATTGACTTTCCTTCAGTGTACATTTAAACAAAAATAAATAAATGTTATAGTTTTATACTCTGTGCAGCATACCTGGGTATTGATGCCGCATTTTGTGTTTTATAGTTGGTGAGTAAATTTTGTAGCCAAAGATTGTAATAATTATATAATCAAATTGTAAATGTCAATAAAATATCATGAATTTATTTTAACTTTAATCTAAATCTATTTTAGAGGAACTACAAGTTAAATATTAAAGATGTTTATTTGTTTGTACAACTGTGTTTCTTTTTTTTTTGGCAGGGGGGGGGGGATAAACAAGCTATTGAGATTTGTGGTCCTTGGGTGTTTTAAAAGTGTGAATAATAAGAATAAACCAGATGGATACATTTAGGACATTTCCATCTGGGTAGGCAATAATGGCAGCATTTGAGGGGAGAGAGTATTCTTTTTGGTTCTAGCCATTCTGCCTGCACCATAGTGGGGAATAGTTTTTAAATACTGTATAGAAAATAAATGGATAACTTTGTAAGTACTAAACTGCTTGATTATAATGATATGTCCTTGTATCACTCTATATCATTGCAGAACAGTAAATTTTCATCTATTGTGTGACATCCACTGTTATTGTAAGGTGGAGAACATCTGTATAGCACTGCAATTTTTTAGCTCTGAATTTCCATAGTGCACTTTGTCTCAAAATGACACTGATTCTGTTCCCAAAAGGTTATGATTCTGTCCTAAAATAACAGAGCAGTGGAATGGTATTAATGTGTTACAGAGTTTGGAACCTCGTTGCATCACACACTCATCTCATATCGTAGTTGCCAAATTTAAGTCTTGTACAGGTGATTAAACAATGGACTTAAGTACCCATTAGCCTAGTAAATATTCTAAAGCAGAGAACCAATGCATGTCATTCTGGGATAGAAGTGCTCTTTCTAGGGCAGAGATTATTGCTACTCTAGGACAGAACCATTGTCATCTTAATACAATGTCATTATCATCTTGGGTCACAACCAGCCTTTCTGAGACACAAACACTAAATCATGGACAAAGTTATTGTCATTCTAGGCAGTGCTGTAATTGAGGGATATGTGGCCATATGGCATATCTCCACTATAAAATTTCAGGCATGCCATAGTGCTAAGAAGAGAGCCCTGTAACCTTTGGATTTGTACACTATTTGTTTAATGATGGCCAGTTGCCACTACAGTATACAATATGTTGATTTATCTCTCTCAGTCTGTGTGAGTCGGTAACAGTTCACCACAATACGTTATAGGGATATACAGTATACTATACAACATTTTCATGATGAGCTTATGCAAATTGTATATTTTTCTGAAAACTGAAATAGCAGCCATAACTGTGAAGAAAAGTGGTAAATGACTCAAGTGCAATGATGGTGAATGTAGGAATAATACTACACTCGTAACACAGGTCAAAATTTTAAATGTACTGTAGTGTACTGTACTATACTATATAATAGCAACTGAAATGAAAAAGCACATAGTATCTTGCATACTTTAGTCTGGAATGCACAAATCATCACTGCTGCAGCCATTTTCATAACAGCTTCAAAGAGGATCTGGAACAATATTATGCAGTAGCTATAAAAGCTCACGAACTCAACGTCCTAAGAGGTGTGGTATTAAAAGACAATGGAAAAGTACAAGAGATTTGTAGCAAAGATTTCATTGTTCAACAGATTGCATGGGAGTGAAACAACCCATCACATGAGCCTGAGACAGACCTACTGGTACTCTCGGATTTTAACATCTGGTCTACCACCTACCTGCCAGTTCAACCTACCTTGTGCAATGGTGAGAAGGAAATTTAAAAGCTTGCATGAGATTCAATCTACATGCCTAATCAGCTGTGAAAGATTGTTGAAGAACACAGTTCTGTACCAGAGGGTCTGAAAGAAATACAAGGATGCATCAATACTCTTTTCATCGGCTCTGCAGTGTAAAAGAACCTTCAGTCTTGTGAATAAGATCTGTGTAGATCATTGTTCATCTTTTGCTGTCTCCAAATATAATCAGCTTGGTGTTTATCAGTGGAAGTGTACCACTGTTGCATCTCCAGAATCCTGAACCTTTTATCAAAGAATGGCTGAAGCACCTCAGGACTACAATGGACACATTAAAAATATATTGAAATCCCCAAGACTTACTTAATGAACATTGTGTCGTGTAGTCACTGCTTTAGATATGTGTGTAAGAGAACATTAATACTGTAGATTGTAAGTTTAGGCTGCATTGTACTAAAAGATTACATGTATTAAGTGAGTGAAAAGACATTGCATTAGACCTGTAGAAAAATGTTTACCCGGTAAGTGATTTTTTATTAAAGGGTATTTCTTAAAATGTGTGTATGGCAGAACGTCACTAATTTGTAATTTTTTTTAGTACAATACTGTACAGGTACTAATGGCAAATGTAGACATATAATATCTGGAAATTTTGCACGGAGAGGCATTGCTTTATTTTATACAGCATTACTTGATTTACTTAATGGCCACCCACAAGAGGTGGCCAATGCCAAAGGAAGGAGGCCAATGACCGGTGTAGGATGTAGACATTGGCATGATAATGAAATTTTAGTGCAGCCTATGAACAAGAAAAAAAAGTTGCCATTACACTGCTGATTCGGGGTTAGAGAACTACAAGGGGTCACAGCTTAAGGTTGAAGAAGACACAAGTCCAGAAAACTGTGAGGGCAAACCTTTTTGGAGTGAGAATTGTGAACTCTTGGAATAATCTGCCAGAGAGTGTTGTGATGGCACCAAGTGTGAGCTCATTCAAGGCCAGACTAGACCAACACTGGAGCAGGTTCTGATATATTCAGGAGCCAGTGCATTCCCAGTATCTGCCAACAGTGCGTATCAGAGACTTGACCGACCGCCCAAGCGGCTAACGAGCCGATCAGTGGCGAAGAGGATAAAAGTAAAAGTACAGTAAAAAGTCACTGGGACAGAACCATTAGTATTCTGGGACAGCCTCTGTCAATCTGTGAAATGGTTGCTCAGTCAGGTACAAAGCTATGTAATTCTAGAACAAAATCACTAGGACAATTATTGCCATATTTGGACAGAACCACTTTAATTCTATGACTCACTACTACTTTGTGACAATCGGTTATTCTGTGACAACCAGTGTTACTTTGTGCTAACCACTGATATGGGGAAGTCACTGGTATTCTGGGACAGAACCACCATCATTCTTGGACAGAACCACTATCATTCTTGGACAGAACCACCATCATTCTTGGACAGACCACCATCAGTCTGGGACAGAACCACCATCATTCTGGGACAACCACCATCATTCTGGGACAGAACCACTATCATTCTTGGACAACCACCATCATTCTGGGACAGAACCACTATCATTCTTGGACAACCACAATCATTCTGGGATAGAACCACCATCATTCTTGAACAGAACCACAATCATTCTTGGACAGAACCACAATCATTCTGGGACAGAACCACTATCATTCTTGGACAGAACCACCATCATTCTTGGACAACCACTTATATTGTGAAACAGAAAGCCATTCATTTTATTTTAAAACTTAGTTACTTCTTCTACAAGGTTATTACACCATTCTGGAAATTATCAATGACACCAGAGTTCAATTTAATTTACAATATTTTGTTTAGTTTTCATATATCTTTATTAGATGAAATGTGTTTGTTGGTGTATACAAATTGCAGGAAAAAAAAAGATCAGACAGACGAACATCCAACTTAAATGACGTCATATAAAAATAAAGCTGTGATTGGCTGAGCCGAGGGATGGATCAGCTGTTTAGTGTTTACGCAACAGTTCACGAGGTCAGTTGTGTTGTGGTAGGCAGTGTAGGTATACTGTATCACATGAAAGTTGTGTCCCCCCCTGTTATAAAAATAAATCAAATGAAGTGATTGTGCTAGTTATTGGCTGAACTATATATAGTGGTAATAGTTCAATGGATATCTCATATTTTTTTTTACCCAAGATAAAAGCTTATGTAATTCCTGTATATTTAAGTTTCCTTGGCTTTTATGGTTAATTATATGTTTCTGAAGTATTGGTATGTGCTTGACTCGACCAATCAGGAAGTTTTAAACAAAATAAATAAATAAAGATATGTCACTGGATGAATAACCAATGTGTTCAAATTCAAAAGAAAAAGCAGCAGCTTAGCTTAAAAGAACAAGGGTCTGGGTTACCTTACGACCTGACAAAAAATATCAAGACAAGAAATCAAGAAAATTTATCTCTAACCTTAAGAATAATCCAAATTGGATATAGGAATTGCATTTTTGGTAATCTAATTTTTCACTAGTTGTGCCCATAAAGACGCTCCATGCCCATGATCTACTTTATGTCACCACTTCTGCACAGTGGAATGCTTTCCAGCCAGCAGCTGATCGTTCTTTCCTTGTGATCCTACCTAATCAAACCTAACCTAACCTAGCATGTAGGGAGAGAGATAGGGTGTATCAAGTTATGAAAGTATCTCCTCCTGTTACCCACTTCTCTTTCATTAGTTCTAGGAATCGTTGTAAGGTTATTCTTTGTGGGTCCAAGTGGAATTTTATAAAAAGAAACCGCTGACCTGACTAACTTCTGCACTCCCTCTTTTTCTCCTCTCTTCCAACCTGATAACTCAATAGCCAACTGTTCCTCTAATAAAGCCAATCACTTTAGCACCTAATTCTCCTCTAACTCCACCATAGACGATTCCAACTCTATTCCTCCTACTGAACCTATGCACTTTCCTATAATCTCCACTCATAAGGTTGTTGGTGTGTTATCCAGTTTGGATGCGAGTAAGGCGCATGGACCGGACGGAATACCCCCTCGTGCTCTGAGGGAATGTGCTGAAATTCTGGCCCCTGTGCTTGCTTGCCTCCTCTGCCTTTGCCTCAAAACCCAACTTTTTCCTTCTTGGAGGCATGCCTCGGCTCAGCCCATCCCGAAGATGGGTGACCATTCTAATCCCTCTTAACTATCACCCCATTGCCCTAACTTCATTCCTTTCTAAGATTTTCGAAACTATCTTAAACTCATTTTCTCCGTCACCTTGAATGCCTTTTTCTTCTGGCGGATCATCAGTATGGCTTTCATCAAACGAGATCTACTGGTGATCTGCTCTCCTACTGCACCCATCTTTGGTCATCCTCTCTTAGGGATTATGGGGAAACTTTTGTCATGGTCCTTGACATCTCCAAAGCATTTAACAGGGTATGGCACAAATCTTTGCTTTCTAAACATCCCTCTTATGGTTTCCCTCCCCCACTTTGTTCTTCCTTGAGAACTGATCTATGGCAGTTGCTGTTGAGGGATCGACCTCTCGCTCTTTCTCTACCAATAGTGGTGTTCCACAGGGTTCTGTTCTTTCACCTACTCTCTTCCTTCTTTTTATCAATGATTTACTTCACATTACGACTAATTCTATCCATTCTTACGCTGATGATTCTATTCTTCACTCGTCTTCACATTTTTCCCTTCCCCCTAATTCTCAAACTAAATCTGTTTCTAGAGCTGATATAATTTCATCTATCAATGCAGATCTGTGCAGCATCTCCAAATGGGGAGGTAGAAACTTGGTTAAATTCAATAGTAATAAAACACAGTACAGTATTTACCAATTACACTTTCCAAAATAGAAGATCTCCGACCATTCTCATTTTAGGATGCAATTATTCTGCCAAATTCTAAAGTAGATATGCTAGGCCTCACCATTTCCTCTAATATGTCATGGAAGCCCCACATCCACAACATTGCTAAAGCTGCCTTATTCTTACCTAATACAGTATACGTTTTTCAGGATGCAACAGAGTACATTATTGCGGACACACCAGCTGGTTCACCGGTGGGGCCAGAGCTGTGGCAATTGTTCACCAATTCTACAATATTTTGTGCAGTATCCCTTACACTTCTCTGCTGCAATTGCTCTCTTTGCCAATATACACACTTGGAAGTCAGTCACCAAAGGCAAAGAAACAAGTGAACTAAGGAAAGATGAGAAGTTAGATTCAATCATATACCAGTTTCAGAAGACACTGTTAAAAGTAAAGGACAAAAAAATTGGGTACTCTAATATACAAGGCTCTCAGACTGTTACACTGCCAGTTGCATATAATTTGAAAAATAAGAGATGTAAGGGACCACTTGGTAGCCTTTACAATAGTAAAAATGATAATATTAACCATACTGACACTCCTATTAACTGTAGCATAGAAACTATAAATGCTACAAAACATTCAGGAAACAAGAAGCAGTTAGATATAGTAAGCACACCAGATGAAAAAGAATATTTACATTATTCTAGAGAAAAAAGATTTATAGAAAATTCTGCATATAAAGATGAAAGAAACAGTGAACTAGCTGTTGTTGCACCCATAGATGATACAAAAAGTGATTTACAAAAAAGAAAAGTAACTGTTTATGGGGAAGGTGTACAAGATCACCCACTTCAACCCTTGGTCCGGCCAAAGATTCTTACTTGTGAAGAACAGTCTCTTGTTCATGATCTTCTGGGATCTGTACAACACACCAAAAAAATAACAGCAATAGAAACTTTTACCAGACAGAATGTTCAGCCACCCTTTGCTGTGTTGCAACAATTATGTGCTTGGGCTGGTAAATCTGACCAGGTGGGTGTGATTCATAAGGTGCAGAAGCTTATCCAAAAGATTTATCCTGACGAGTATCACCAGCATTTGGGCTTCAAGTATTACCATGCAAGGTATGTTAAGCAATTTATTTATTTTTTCTCTGGAGGATGGGAGTAAGCTGGGATTGGCTATTATTGCTAGCACAATTTTATAACCACAATTACTGTACTTTATAAAGACTGAACTCATAGATTCAAGAAATGTACATGTATTCCTCGTTTAGCATTAATTCAGTTTAACAAAAAAAAATTTGACACCCTTTCTCACTAAGTTAGGTCAAATTTTATTTTAGCTGTAGCTTGACTTATTGGGAAGGGGAAAAACTGGGGATGAGGTGGCCTGTAAGATGGCATATTGCCTTGTTACATGTAATGAAACTATATATAAATTGTGGAATAATCATTACAATACTCTAATGGGGTCTATAATTCAGAAAATACTGTATGATTTAAAACTATTAAATAAGAAAATGAAGATCCAAGGTGTGTATGTATATGAAGTGAACGTATTTGTGGAGGCAGAGGGCTGGAACTGTTCATGAGCCCACCTGTGCTTCCTGACTCCCTCCCCTAATGTGACATCATGGCATACACGCAGCACGACAATAGGCACACGTCTCTGAGTCAATTGAGTGACTTCCCAGCTGAACTGTGTCCCATCACCCAGAGGAAGGTTTGGGTGTGGAATGGGGTATTTTTTGTACATAAAATATGTGCTGTTGTATTTTATGATTTGCTATATATCAATTTTATTTTGTATCCAATTTTTGTACGTTTTTTATGTATGCAATTTTAAATTTGTTCGAATTAGTGTAACTTTTTGCTTACTAAATCATTTAACTCTGAACCACATCGTTTATATAGAAGTTTGGTGTTAATAAATCACTCATTTAATTTCAAAACTGTTTACTGTATAATAAATTAATTTATTATTATTATGTCTGACAGTGATATCTCCATTATCTGGAACAGTTGGTGCAGAGCACTTCCGAGAATTAAGAGATTTCCGGGTAACAAGATGACTCTCTCAAAGCCGGAAATAATCTCTCATCCCCGGAATTTTCCGGGTAACGGAAAAATATTCTTGGAAGCTCCAGAAATTGCGCATTACATCATTTCTTAAACTCAGAAAAATATCCCCCATCCCCAGTATACTGTAAACACTTTTTATGTCTTAACATTGCCTTAACAGTATTCTTGGCTGATTGTATCCTGGTTCAGTATTGTACAGTACTGCACAACAGAGATCGTATGTGAAAGCAGCAGTGAGTGAGCAAACAAGCTTCCACAATGGTAGCAGACAGTGAACTAAAAGTGTCATGATGCTAGAGCTTGAGGAGATAGGCTGCAAGATACATCAGCCAATCATGGGCATCCCATGCAGTCACATGCCAGGAGTAGCCAATTGTAGCTTAAAGGCACTCTGAGCCTACACACCCACGTGCTCGGCATGTGTTGGCATATGATGCAATCTCCAAATTCGTTTGAATGCCCAGAATGGAGAAATTTTTTTTGGAATGCTTATTTTTTTCTCCAGGTAATGGAAAATTCCGGGGCTCAAAGATTCCAACTAATGGGGAGATTATTACAGTATACTGTATGTCAATGGAAGAAATAAAAAATATTGAAGTGCATGGAAAGTTTTACAGAATTTACAGAATGGCTAAGAAGACCAATACTTTGAATTATGGGGCGATGGTGAATAAAGGCTCTTGTGGGGTATGAGCATGTGAGGAAGATGCCAGAGAGTTTGAAGGTTAAGAAGGTGCAGTATTTTATCAGGTTTACTATGTTGGAGACATACTGTATGACGTCATGGGAGGGTAGGATGTAACATTGCATGAATGGGAGAGGGAATCAAAGGGAAGAGGGAGCAAAGGAAATATATGGTGGTGGGTAGTATGGAAGTATTTTATTTTTTCCACCATCTCAGAATGCAGAGAGGTGTTCCTGTTAATATTTTACATTCCTCTAGTTAAAATGGCTTTACGGGCTAAGAATGTAGGTTATAACGTGTTGACAGCTACAAGATACAGTGCTTGCTGATTACCAATCATTGTTTCCCACAGTGCTTTATGTTATGCCGGTGATGTCAGGGAAGGGTTGGAGGAACTCACCCAGCTGTACAGCAGCCAACCTCAGGGACAAAAGAAGATCAAGGACACTGTCACCTTCATCATTTACCACATTATTAATTCCAATAATGAAGACCATGAAAAACTGGTAAAACTGCTTCTATTTTTAACTGTAGGGGAATTTGACTTTAAATTCACCTCATGATTTTTATACAGTTGAGGTGCTTAATTTGTGTTGGAATGCACCAGAACTGTGTTCTGACACTTTTATTATGCATGATAAAGTTGTAAATGTAACACAATTCAATAAAAACTGTCATCGGTACTACTGTCTGTATACAGTACAGTACAGTACTGTATATTTCTTGGCAATAAGTGTCTTGCTAGTTCCACTGGCTTGGTCTGCTTCTTTGCAGCAGCTATCTTTGGCTCACTAGAGCTCCACCACTTATTATTATACAAATTAAGGGTTTTTGGAAATACAGTTCATAATTCAGGAGATGTATTTCTGAGATATACATGAGGATAAATGACTCCATGATTACAGTATACTGTATTACCCGCCTAACGGTTTCACTTAAGCGCTTTTATCATATAATGTGTGCCTCGCCAGAGCTGAACTTTCACTTAACACGGATTTTTTCCACATATACGCGGTGAGTGTCCGGCTCGAGACGCTATTTTTAGATTTGCCCCACCCGCCACCCTGCCTGACTGCCTGTTTTAGCTCATAAAATTCATACAAATTACCCGGCCAGAATATAATTTACATTGCTGGAATTCTTATAATTTGGTGATCATTTTGAATATAAACATCATATATTTTGCATTAAACATACAATTTTTAGATAAAAATTTTTCTCTAGGTAACTATGTTATCTTTTGTGCAAAATATATGACATTTATATTCAAAATATTCCTGGTCTTACAAGGAATCCAGCAATGTCAATTATATTATCCTAACTTTAGTTTGAGGTATTATTTATTAAAATTTAGTGGTTATCCCACACATCTCCTTGGGACGGGGGGTGGGGGGGAGGGAGGGACCGACCGACCATCTGTTACCCTGTGAAGAATTATTATTTTTTTTTATTAACTGAAGATATTTGTTTTAGCTCATAAAATTCATACAAATTACCCAGTCAGAATATAATTTACATTGCTGGAATTCTTATAATTTGGTGATCATTTTGAATATAAACATCATATATTTTGCATTAAACATACAATTTTTAGATAAAATTTTTTCTCTAGGTAACTATGTTATCTTTTGTGCAAAATATATGACATTTATATTCAAAATATTCCTGGTCTTACAAGGAATCCAGCAATGTCAATTGTATTATCCTAACTTTAGTTTGAGGTATTATTTATTAAAATTTAGTGGTTTTCCCCCAAAAATTTCTCTGAGAGGGAAGAGCCAGTGAGTGTACTGTAGTGTGAGAAGAGGGGGAGGGAGTTGAGTCCATTATTTGAATGGACATTAACTTGGCGACTGTATTTCTCTATTTCTCTTAAGTATTAATTGTGTGCATGTACCATCATAAAATTAAGATGTTATTTTTACTACAACATAGGTATGTGCCTTCAAAAAGTGGAGTTTGGGGGTCGGGCGGTTTCTATTGGAATTAATCCCATATGTTCTGTTGTTCCTTAACTCGATTTCACTTAACGGGACCCTCTGGGTTCAATTGACCGCGTTAAGTGGGGAAACTAATACTGTAGTGTCATTACCCCATAGTTTCAAAGGTATACCACATAATTGGGTAGGGGAGGACTGCAACAAGTCTATGGATAAAAAACACCCCTGGAGTTTTCGAATGTGTATGGCAGTCACTTTTGGGATGGGCTGAAGCCTGCAGTTAGTACGAGCTGGAACTTTAAACATTTACTGTAAAATCCCTATCAGACTGTGTATGATTGTAAATATAGTAAATTGTACTAGCAACGCTGAATACAGTATAACTGTCATGTGTTATAACTCTGACACTATGTGCTACATATTGGTATGTCTCAGGAATACACCCCAAGAATTCTGAAACATATTTCCAAAACACCCTGTATATTCGTTTATATTCAGTTGGTCACATTAAATTTTGAATATTTTTTCTTTTCAGTTAGTACTTTTGTTGAGTTATCCTTAGATTCCATTAAAGTCTGTCTTTTTTACAGTGTGATTTATTAAGTATTGTTATTACTGTATTGTATAATAGCTACCCTCCCTCCCTCCTTCCGTGGCTCCACTCTTCAGACCATGTTAGACACTGACTGTGGGTATTTTAACTAAGTTATCTCATAGACCACTTATCTCTTTATCATAACAGTAAAATGAGATTTCATGCTTTACTCCTCCATTTCTAGCTCCACACTGACTTTGTAGACTGTCCACCTTAACACAGTACTGTACTAAATACTGTAGTACTCTAATTTGAGGTATGATTTATAATATATTTAGCTTTTTGATGTACAGTACAGGTACATTACTTTTATTTTGATAGTCTTTATTATGTTAAAAAAAAATATATTATTGAAGTATAATTTTGTATACCCGGTATGTACAAACAGTAAGGGTGGTGTACAATGAAAGAAAAAAGTCGTGTCGTGAAATTTGGTGAAAACATATGCCGAAGGGCTAAACTTTTGGTGTGCTCTGCCTTGTGATAGAGGGGTTCACATAATGTTTCACGAGCTATATTTAATCTTGGGACAAAACCGCGACACGACTTTTGTCTTTGATTGTACATCATTGATTTATAAAGCAATTGAGCAATGATAAGAAAACCATAATGTTATCTTGGAGAGTTAGGTAAGAATATGTAAGGTTAGGTTAGTGGTAGAGTAATTAATAATAAGATGAAAGAATTGGGGAAGCTAATCTGCATGTGATTCAAACATTCATTAAATAAATAGATTATGTAAAAAGAATCTTGAGATTATTTGTAATCTATTCATCTATCATAGCAAAGGTATTTGAAAACAAGTATTGTACAGTATAACAAGCTAGTTAGTGCCATATCTCCTGTCTTACAGGTTTTCAACTTTGTTAATAACCTGGCTGTAGGCCAGGGGCAGTTAAGCCCAGCTCTCTCCTTGTGGTGTGCCTGTTTCTCCAGTTCACTTTACAGACTTCAGGTGGTAAGTGTCCTCTTTAATTGGCATTTCAAATTCTTTTTTAAAACAGCTAATTGATCTAGAATCACAAATAATATCTTTATTTTTTTGTTCATGTACATAATGGATATGATCCTATAAATTCTTAAACTTTATATACAAAATATACAGTACAGGTATTCCCCAATATGCAAAGGGGTTGTATTCCTGGAAATCCATTCATTAAGTGACAAAGAAATGGGAGAGCCCATGTGCTGTACTGTACTGCATTATCTTATACAGGTGCCTAGAAATTGCTGTGCACTTCTTAATTAAACTTCGTATCTTAGATGTCAGAAGTGCTGCTGGAGAGACATCCTGGACTCATTAGAATGCTGGAACGTAAACTTGACAACATGGTGAGGCGAGCAGCCTGGGATGGTGATGATGAGCTCTTACATAGAATTTTACAGCTGACACTTCACTACAAACTCTCTAAAAAGATATCATCTGTCACTAGTACCCTTCTGCAGCTTCAGTGTAAGTTGGTTTTACAGTGTACGTATTTAGTTCTACCATGTTTTATGTAATGTACTTAATATCATCTTTCCCTTGGCAGTAAGTCAGTACAGGTTGGACCTCGCTAATCTGGGAAGCTTGGGACCAGACCAGTACCGGATTATCAAAAATTCTGAACCATCAAAGCTGAGGTTAAAAAAGGACAAAATAATCCATAAAATGTACTATTACTGTCTAATTTCATCAGCATAGACACCATTTATAAAATAGTTAATCTCACATGCTTACCGTATGTTTTGCCACATTACAATCACTTCCACTGCTTGCTGGTCTCTTAGGAGGCATATTCAGGGGTAAATTATAAGTGTATAAAGGTAAAATAGTGGCAACAGCCACTAGAAGTGAGCTATGACACTGTCCCGAACCATCGAAGCTGCTGGACTATCGGGTCCCAGATTAGCGGGTCCAACCTGTATGGTCACAAATTTTTGCACCTTTATTCCCTTGGCAGAGTTCATCTTTCTACAATTACCATTATTGTACATTTTTGTGTATATTCATTTGTATACCTGTATATAAATACAATACAGTAGACCCTCACCAACCATGGACTTCCCATCTGCGGTTTCCTTGTAACCACAGTTTTTACTTTGTACAGGGTATACTATTTCACCAACCATGCCATTGAATTTTGATTATCTGCGAATTAGTGTGGCATCTTTATACCTCTGCAGTCTAATGCATTCCTCTGTAAATATGAGGAATAAATAAAAACACAGGGGTCCCCGGGTTACGAACGGATTCCGTTCCTGAGGACGTAGTATACTGTACACATGCTATGTGTATACTGTACTTACTAAACAAAGTTTAAAATCCCACTATATCATAGCCTAAGTCCTTATATACATCTAAAATCACTTAATTTAAGAGAAAGGAAAAACAGAATGACAAAATACAGTAAATGAAAGTAAAAAAAGTCATCAGGTAAATAAATTACTGTAAATTTACAGTTTAACCTCGTTTGTATCGGCGGGCATTCCTAAGTCGGGGACCCCCCGTAATTTCACTAAGGACATGGGAGACAGGAGCGCACTTCCCGCACCTGCTATCCCCTTCCATAATTGTGGGCTAACTCCCACAGACGTAAGAAATGTTTATTCTCTTTATGATTTTGACCTTATGATAATCATTTATTTTATTATATATTTTCTTTACAGATTCTGTATGAACAATTGTGTGTTCATGTAACAGTAACAACAACAACAAAAATTTAAATAAAATTATGTTATATACTACAGTATGTACCAGAAAATAATAGTTGAAAAATAACAATAACACAACTTGGCCTGGTACGGGTAGATCTTAGGGGATTTAGCTACAGGGACAGTCTAACTTGGCTACTTGCCAAGTCCGCATATACGTTAACTTCACACACATACGCACCGATGATCTTCATTTTTTCTTATTTTATAGTAAGATGCCACCTCCACAGAGATGTACTGTAATTATTATTTAATTTATATTAAGATATTTATATGTCCAGTATTTGACTCAATTTGAATTAAATGCACAATACAGGTACGTACAGGGTATTGTTTTCTGGAAAGAACAGACATCATTGTTAGACTTTGACGAGTGTTATGCGGGACCATGGTACCTAACTCCCTATTTCCCATAAGCCTTTCGTCTTGCCAACAGCAGATTTGCCAACCATGGGATTTTTCAGGAACCTAACCCCCGTGATTCACGAGGGACTACTGTATGCACACTTAAATTGTCAGTCTTCCCATCTCACATTAAAATTCAAGTGTAACACATATTAAGAACTTAAATTGAGCCATGTCAGCAGTAATGTCTTCAGTGTAGAGAACAACTTTCTGGAGGGATCATAATACAGTACGTAATCATAGTATGGTCCATTTGGAAGTTACCCCAACTAAAAGTGACAACCTTAGTTTAATAAAGTATAAATCTTATGGTTTTCCTGTTGTATAACAGTAGCTGTTGGTAAGAGTGCATACAGTATTAGAAATGTTTATGAGTACTGTATTATGATAATTTGGTGAACTTTTAAACACTGTACTTGTTAGACAAGAATATATTATTTCTTTAGTATTCTTAAATAGGTGAGGTGACAAAGAGGTCAGAGCACAAAATTTTCTTTCTTAAGCAATTGCTGTGTAAGGCCAGAATGACAGCAGATTAAAATTGGGAAACTTTATTACCATAACAGGTGACATTGGAGATCTTCACGGAGCAGATGAAACCATTAAGTTCGCCCAGCGTGTGGGAGTGAGGTTGACACCATCAACAGTTCAGAGGTTTTTGGCTTTACTCAACCACCACAGACGTCCTGCTCCACTCTATCTCCTTGCCCTCAAATATGGTCCATCTCCACCAAAGACATCAGTCCCTAAACCACCTAAATTTAAGTATAAATTTTGAGAGTAAATTATTCTTTCTTAAGATTTGTTTTTTCTCTGCTCCTGAATACATTATCTTCTTCATACCCAAAATGAAAATACTGTACTGTAGGTGATGTGTTACTGTTACTTCATCTCATGTTATTTGGTGAGCAGACACAATTTAACAATTAAAAATAATTTTCATTGACTTGTACATCAAACTTAATTAATATTCTTCTATTGAAGAACTTTAATGAGTTTACCTTAATTTAGTGTTTCACTTACCGGTAAGTTCTGAAGTACAGTACTTCAAAACATTTGGCAATCACAAACATTTTAAATGTTTTTTTCTGGATGGTAAGTAGTACTGTACTGTATATAAGTGTCCTGGCTATATTTGGAACTAATGACCGTATGTTATGTTAAGAACTAATTAGGGGCTCCTAAAGTACTCCCCAGACCACCATTAGTATACTAAAAGTTTTTCAAGTCTTTAATTTTATGGGATATCCCATAAATTTTGGGGATGTTCCAATATATTAATATTAAGGGTGCAGGGTCATGGCCTTTGCAAGCCCTATATTTCATAATTGTTATAAAAGATAGTCCTGTACCAGAAAAAAAAATAGAAGAATGTACAGGGGCTGATCTAGGGGAGGGGGGTCCTGGGGGTCCAGAACCCCTCTTTTCATCAAAAAATTCCAGTACTTTTTCTTTAATGCAATACTGTACTCAGGCATTTTTGTATAGTAAAAAGTAATTACTATTAACCTCAGAATATCTCCTAATATCAAGTGCACATGACTTCAAAATACCCTAAAGTGTCCATGATATTGGACAGTTTTCAATTTTTTCTGGGGAGCCTACAGCATCCCCCTAAAACCCTCCAGCTGTGTCGGCTCGCTGTGCTTGCCAGGTTCCCCACCCACAACTTCTTGGACCCCCTCCCTTTTGATATTCCTGGATCCACCCCTGATGTATTGGATATACAGTACTACAGTAAACCCTCGAGAACTCGGTACATATGGGGCTCTGGCCTTGTCAAGTTATCCCAAATTCCGACTTATCGGGGCACTTCCCTCTTCCTACAAAAATACAACAATAACAAATTATTGACCCATATATGTGTACATGTAATTACTAAATGTAAAAAAGTAACACTTACCATCACTGCAGGCAAAGAATGAAGCATCATAAGAGGTGACACATGCATGGTAGGTGACACAGAGGTATGGTAGGTGACACGGAAATCTGATTACTGCATTGGAAAGTTCATACAATTTCGCTTCTAGCAGTGTAAAGTACTTAAAAAGTTGGCTTAGACAATATTGAGTTAGGAGGTTGGCTATCGTAATTTAATATATTCTTAAATGAAAATTAATTGAAGGTTGGAACGCCTCAATAAATCCTGGACCTGCATTTCAAAAGTGGACTCAACAAGTCTTTCAGAAAATGGCTGATTTTAATGGAGAATGATAAAATATAGTGATTATGAGCAGTATAATTGAAGGAACAGTTGTGAAAATTTAAGAGGTAGAGGAAGAAAGCATAATAGACAAATAACTTCTACGGTTCCTTAGATTGTCACTTCACAATCAACAATTAGTGAGAGAAGTATTGTGCATAAATGGTAATTCCATTGCATTCAGCTCATAAAAACATAATAACCCGCTGTAAAATAAAACAAAAGTTACCCAGCAGGCACTAGCTTGATTTTCAGCAGAAAATGTGAGTGGGTTTTTTTTTATTATAGGTTTTGGCTACCTTATTCAATATTCGTATTTCTATAAACGTCAATTTGTATTCATTTTATTTTATTTATTGGAAATATCAACAAATTGATGTTCTCGAGTATAGGATCTCTTGCAAAAATTTGTGATGGGCGAGTTAATATGGAGGACAAGTGTGTCGGTGGCAGTCTATTGTAATTCATTGTTAATTTGTGTTGCGCTTGTTCGCATTATTATAGTGCCTGGTACTAGGAACACCCTGTTTTCACGCCGTCTTACTGAATACACTCTGGAAGTACAAGGTAAGTAATATAATTATGCAAAACTTTAAGAGCCGGCCTAGTCGGTCAGTTGTTGATTCCCAGCGCAGTTGAATTGTAGCGTTATCGCTTACAATAAGTATGTTCGTTACGTAGTGCCGAGTTAATGATTAAACGCTGCTAAGTTGTTTATATTAGAATATTTGGTTAAGATTCGTTTTAACGTCCCCGCTACGTTCTATAGAAAGAGTTAATATTTTGCTATTTGGACTATCGATATAGGTTTCGCTACCTTTCGACATTCTTGGATAGTCATTATTTTGGAGGTAATGTACAAAGTTGAAGTCGCTGACTCGCTGCGTCATTTGTTTGTTTACAACTGACCCGCTTGGTCCAACGGTACTTACTCTCACATCTACTAAAAATGTAAACTTACACCATGATGCTTCAACAAAGTTGCTTTCATTGGTACCAGATATAAAATAGTACTTTCTGTTTAATATGGCTGGGAACAGAACCCCCCGGCTAGGAAGTTAGGTAAGGATTGGTAGGTTTCTTCGGTTGGTTTGGTTAGTTTTATTTGTCTGACATTTTATTATAAAAGGGGATTTTCCAAAGAAAATGAAGGTCAGATTTATACAAAGCCCACCAAAATACTCCAGAAAATTATATTTCCCTGTAAAAACGAAGGGGAAATTATAACGAATCTTTACCGAGAAGATTTTTGGTTATAACCTCAAAGTTGCACCATAAATTAATCTTATAAAAAAGTAGAGGACAAACGAACAAATCACGACTTTTTTTTTAAGATAGTCAGCATCTCGAAGGGAATTAAAGACGTAAACCCAGATAAATTTTTCGTAATATCACACTTCACTAGGCTTAGGATAATTATGCACTTAAAAATGGCTAAATATGCATGCAAATATGCAGTAAAAACTGAGAAAATATGCTCTTAAATATGCGCTTTAAAACAAGTTAATAAATAATAACTACTAAGTTAATAACTCCTTTTCTGTACATTTTCTCAGTATATTTACTTTCCCAGACAGGATGTCGCCGAAGTAGGATTTTTTAAAGAAGAATTAAATACAAAAAACAATATACTGACAAAGTAATTTAATAAACAATACTGAAAAAAGTATTTCTTTCAAGAAAATAGAAGAACAAAAGAGTGTCAGGAGGGAACTGGTGGAGCCCGTGCATCTATACCCTGCCTGGCTGAACACGAACCCATCACGTACAGTTCATGTCCACTGACCAGCCAATCACGGCTCAGCTAACCACAGCCTAAATAAAATGGACATTTATATTTCAAATATCAGTAATTTCTGCCCCAGCGTTGCTGTTATGCTCGCGAATTTTTTGACTCTTGAGGTTGAAGAATGTTTTATCATATTTTGGAATTTTCCAAATATATGCCTTAAAAAACAAAAAATTATGAATATGCACTTTAGCTCAAAAATGGCTTAAATATGCATTTGCATATGTGCATATGCAAATGCATAATTATCCTAAGCCTACACATCACCAACACCAGAGCAAACTACTTCAAGGTCGCCAGGCATCACGCAGAGGGTTATAGACCAGCACAAGCCGCGGGAGCTTCAAAATAACCCTGAAAAAGAACATCAAGAATAATAGAAGGATCCCTTATACATAGACCATTGCCTCCTTCCCCCAGATGGCCACCTCAAGGTAGGGTGGCCATTAAGTAAATTAGGAAATATGGCAAAATCGACATCACTCACCCATCCCGGGCGTCGAACGCTAAGAGTTGAAAAAAGTGTAAGCTAAATTAGTAGTCTGGGTGCTGTTGTTTTTAGGTGACGGTCCACATTGGACGATGCTGAACAAACACTACAAATGTTAGCGAATGAAGCCTGAAGAATATGAAGTAGAAAATAGTCGATGAATGTGAGCGAAAGTACGGCGATGATAGGTTGAAAAGGGGACAGGGAGAAATAAGCGTTAATTTTGATGAAGTTAGAACGCCTGAAGAGTGTTTCAGATTATCAAGGAGTGGATGTGTCCGCCAATGGAACGATGAACAATCAACCAGAGAGGAGAGAATCGTATAATTCTTATCTTAGAAGGCGGCAAAGTCAGGGTAAAACAAGTGAAGAGCGTATAATCTTTTGAGATATGGCAGGAGGGAGAGGGAGACCGTGGCCCTCCTATTTCCGGCCATCCTGAAGCCTAGTGGAAAAAGAAGAAGAAAATACTGTATAATCCACATAATACCGTGCAGTACAGTACTTATAATCTGGCTGGATATATAAACACAAATGGTATGTGAATATTCGACTCGCTGCCAATGCCTAATTCCCTCAGTAAGTTTAGGTTATGCTAGAATAGGTTAGAGTTAGGGTGGTTAATTTTTAGGTGAAATGAACTGGGGTAGTAAATCTTCAGGTGAATCAAATAAAAATATAGGGCACATAAACATACAAGTATACATATATTTCACTGAGTGTTAACGTGATATATATATCCCTGGGGTACCACTTTGTGCATTTCGTGTCATTCACATATCTGTTTTGGGGAGTCATCCTCACACAGCAAGTTCACGTTTCCTGTACTGGCGGACTCGGGTTACTAGCTCTTCCACCACACTCGTATCCACAAATCTTTGTATGTTGAATTATTTTCTTACCTGGGGGCCTGAGAAGTGAGCTCATTGATTTGCGTAAGATATAAGATAAGAATGTGACCTAAATAGAGGTTGACAAAATTGGACAGAGATAGTTGCTAGATGCGTTTTATTGTTCATAGTTATAGTATATAAGAATGTATGAATTATTTTCTTTACTTTATCCTTTTCGCCACTGATCGGCTTGAGAATCTGAAGGTTGGGGTTCCCTTACCTTTGTCTTGTAGCGGGTCTAAAAGAGAGAAAGGGGTTAGAAAATATATACATGCCCAAACATGCATATACTGTACACATGAATCAAAACACACATACTCACTAACAAAGCCAAGCATATATAGATACGCCCCAACAAATACAAAGGAGCACGTACAATATACAGTATACAACTGTTTACAGTTTTACTCACCAATAAACATAC